ATATTTCTATCAAGTAAGAAAAACCACTTTTTGAAATCGATTATTCATAGACTTTAGCAAAGCTCAGATCGAATAGCAAGAGATGAAAAGTAAACTTCAGATAGTGACTTTTCACTATTGACTATGAACCTCATTATAGTAGGATAATCAATAGAATCGTGTGGGACCAGATTTAGTTCACGTCACTGTGTTTCTGGCAGAAAAAATACTATCAAAAATGAAATTAAAGTTTGAAATAACCTATTCTATACTTTGAAAGAAGTTATCTTAGAAAGTATAATTCAAAAGAAATCATCTCTAAACGACTACCAATCGTCCATTAGATGAATCAAAGCTTGATTATCGAAACAAATTATTTAAATGCGATTCAAATATCAACGTTAATATTACAAAAGTCTATTAGTTATACCAATTTTCATTATAATTTTTATCTTACAAATGAAAATATCCGAGAGTGAATTGTCATTGAAAATAATATTTTGTCCATATTAAAGCACAAGTGAGACTAGAAAAAAAGTAAACGAACTCTTCTATATAGAAATCCTAGGCAGAATTATGACCATACCATACTATTCGTTTAGTATAATATATTTTTATAGAAAACATATAAAGAAAGAGTTTTCAATCAAATCTATCTCTAAAAACATAGATGAATATTCAGAAAATATTTCAAATAAACTAATCGAATGCATGGAAAGATACTCCTCATAACCTACTTGTCTTCAATAGTATTTTCGAGAATCTTGTTTCTGTAAAAATATGAATTATTTCAAAATAGAAGTTTGATCATTGTATCAGCCGGTCGTGTTAGAATTAATAATAAACGAACTCGTATCAATAGAACTTTTAAATTTTGTTTTCTAGAATCTGGCTGAAGCTGAATATATTGTTGCTGTTTATATGTATATGCGTTTACTTGGTTATCCAGCTCAAAAAATATCTATTTTAACAACCTATAATGGACAAAAATTTCTTATTCGTGATGTACTCAATAAACGTTGTGCTAAAAATCCTCTTCTTGGATTTCCAATGAAAGTAAAGACAATTGATAAATGAGTAAAAGCAGCTTTTATTTCTTTTCTTTTTAAATAAAATATGAATTAGGTAACAACAGTCGATAAATATCAAGGTCAACAAAATGATTATATTCTTCTTTCACTGGTTCGTACGAATGCAATTGGTCATTTGCGGTAAAAAAAAGAATAAAGGCTCTTTGTTTTGTTCATTAAAATTTTTGTTTTAATTCCAGTGATGTGCGCCGATTGGTTGTTGCAATGTCTCGCGCACGTCTTGGTTTATATATTTTTGGCAGAGTTAGCTTATTTGAAAGGTAATTTCATAATTAAATCTTGATAGAAAAATAATCCATGGTTCATTAATTTTAGCTGTTTTGAATTAACGCCAGCTTTTAATATATTAACAAAACGTCCAACTAAATTATATTTATTACCCAATGAAATATATCCCAGTACACGAGAGGTTTGTTAAAAAGAAATTGATGATAAATTAAGTCTTTTTCTCTGCAGGAAAAGCGTGATCAATCTATCGTACATCAAGCAACTGTGATGGAAAATATGCCACAGATAGCTGATTTTGTTTATAAGTTTTATACTCAAAAATTACTTGACTATCAAGAACAAAAACGTGTAAGATAAAAGAATTCATTGTGAAATCAATCTTCTATTGAAATGTGTTTTTATTTTACAGCAAGAAGAATTATCTCGTTATGATCCAGAACGTGATTTACCGTATGATCCACAACAACCATCGATTTGTGCACCTGATGAACGTGTTACTGATGAAAATTTAACAGAAAATTCATTGAATCAACCAATTCTAACTGAAAAAACTTTGACAACAGAATATATTCCATCGCGACAACATCAAATATCGGGTACATCATTTCGACATGATCCAAATATTGAAAGTTCAACAATTGAAAATCTTGATGATGACGATGATGAAGATGTTTATGATCCAAATAAACCAACACTTTTTCAAAAAATTCAACCACAGATTACAAATACAACTGAACAAACATCATCAAAAAAATCAATTGATATTCCAGCAAATACAAATACAACAGAAAAAATTCAAGGTAATGACGGTCAATTTTTATTTCTCGTTTGTGACTATTTGCAGAAATTTCAACAAAGAGGAGGATTCATCGTAAACCCAACAAACGTTATTCTGTAAAGACTAGAAATTCGATAGCTCGAGCAAGTCAAGAATAAATGTTCTCGCAAGCATAAAAGCGTAAACGTTACACGCTACTTTAACGTTAACAACTTTTATAATTTATTTATTTAATCCTATTTCGAATTCTTAGTTTCAAAATATTTCATTGTTATGTTTTAGAACCTGCTGATGCGTCGGGAGATGATTTGAACAAAGTATGTTATACTATAGAATTTATTTTTCGATCTACATGTCTTAAGCCAATCTATGACTGAATCTGACTCAAGATTAGTCTACTGTATATATACGTGATCATTTTTTTATTTTTAGTCGGCTCTCTTTCGAAGCGTACTTCATCAAGACAATGAAATGGATACAATCCCGGCATTAAATGATGAAAACTAGTCTTTAAATTTTCTCTTTTCTTTGGACAAGTTTTATTGTTCGGTTGTGTATTGAAATAAAAACGAGGAAAACTTTTCTATTAAATTGATTATTTAATTGATTAGTATTCCTTGGAATACCAATGCTTACTTTTCTATTTTGTTTATCGAGAGCTGTTGATTTGTGTATAATAAGAAACTTATCTAATCACATTCAAAACTATTTCAGGCATCTGACTTTTCAATACGACTCGTAATGTGGTTGTAGTTCTTGAGTGTGGGTGTGAAGTGTGCATCTTGGTTAGATCAATCCTCATTCAGACCCACATCCATACCGAACTTGTTTGAATTTTGATTTTGGGTAGAACGTAAATATTTTGATTATATATTTTTATAAACGCTATAATAATATTGGTAAGAGGTATCGTTTGTATTTTTTAAACAGAAAAGTCTTTTTTTATAATCGATACTGGGTTATACATTTCGTTTATTTTTATGTGAAGGTGTACGCGTATATCAGTTTTGGGATAATTCTTATCTGTTTAGATTTCTACCAAGACCGTTGAAAGCTAAAGGAGGAGTTTCTTCTAATAGATGTTTTCTATTACATTATGCTCGTTGTTTAAAACTTCACTTTAGTAATCACCACAGATAAATGAATTGTACATACGTATTATTTTAAGATGCGCTTTATGTTAGTAGAATTTGCTGAGTTTCTGAAGTCAGAACAAATGAAAGAATTAGATCGAATCCCCAAAAATAGCAATGATCTTTACACGATATGAAAAGGTAGTATTAGTTTATGTACCTAAATTTCTGAACAATACTCAATTTATTGTGAATTGCATACAAAATAACTGAATTTATATGCAACTACAATAAGCATACGACAATTTTTGTGAATACATTCTTTCAATTATTTAGTTTTTCTCGCCATCAAATAAAATAGTCAATATAAAGAAAAAAATTATCTAAAAAACTAAAAAAGAAAAAGACAATAGTATCGCATTTATTTCGCTGATCATATTTATATAGAACACATTAAGAAAAAGAGTTAACTCATTAAAGAAATTCTCGATAGATTATATGCCTAAAAAGAATGAATGAATGAATCTTCAAAGAATTTTAGAAAAGTAAATATGCATTATACCTCGGAACATCTTTCGTTCTAGCAAAAAAAGAATAAAAATTCTGTCGTACTGTCCATTCTGAACTCGATTTATTTTTTTCAATTGAAATTATCTCGCATAAGAAAAAAAATAATTTCAATAAATCAAAAAAGTCTCAAATCGTTCAAACCATTCGAAAATAAGAATTAAATAGCATCATATCAATTGATTTTAGTGTCGTGTCTCTTCAAAATGTTTTACAGTGAGATATTTGTACGATACAAAAGGTTTACAAATTGTATTAAGATAAAAAATATTGATAGAGAATTTATTGAGATCACTGATATTTCTCGCTTGTTCAAAAAATTAAACGCACCTTTAATTGCATGAAGTGTAACGAGTATAACAGATTTTATTGTATGCTAAAGATAGAAATCGATGTTATTGTTTGACATTGATCAATAGTCATTTTATTAGTGAAACCACGAAATGGTGATTTTCTAAGTAGCTCTCCAAGTTCATCAGAATGGAGGATAAATTAACTTTGATCAAATTAAGAAAGTCCTCAACTTCGGAGAGTGTCATTCTAATATGAGTCAAGCAGACGTGACCTATTCTTGACTCGATTCATCGAAAAATGGTTCGAGTTGAAACGATTCATACTTTATGTATTACTGTTTACAAAAAAATATTCATTTTTTTCTGTATCTATTATAAACATACTTTAGCAATTACCAGACTCTTCTAAGTTGCTTGTTAATTTTGATCCTAAGTCAGATATTTCACTGACATGTTTATCTTTCAATGACTCACTAGTAAAATATTCAAAATCTAGTATAATAGAAAACAAAATATGAATAAAAATAAATCAGCACATGTGTTGTGTTGGTAATCTAAACAAAACAAAAAGAAAATCTTTTGAATAAATGCTTCAGCTCATTCAGACAAAGCTTGTACTGCTGTTTTAATGTGATGAACATTAGCTTCACGTTGTATTTGTATTCAAACTTGAAATTCTTTAACATCTTTATGACAATATAAATATGTAGCAAAAAATTGATTTACCTAAATGGGACAACAACAACAACAACAACAATTCTCCGTGTCAAACAATAATGTTATATCAAAATAAGCGTTTTTTTTTCTACTTATATCGGTAAGCAGAATGAATCATGCAAAAAAATCGATTGTGAATTGTGATTCGTGTACTTGTTTAAAGAAGCCGATTGGCTGGTACCTGGGTTGAATAGAATGAATCACTATGATTATTAACATCAAAAGATCAATGAAGCGAGTCAAATGAGTAAAAACATTTAAAACTGCGATAAATATGTTTAAAGTTCAAGATCCAAATATTCGTGCGTCATCGAATTTTCTTTTTGAAAATGTTAATAAAATATTATCGACTTTTGTACCTGCAAATCGTCGTCCGGAGAATTTCCAAGTAAAATAAACCAATTATTTTATTTTCGAAATCGTGTAATTTCTTTGTTTTTGCACAGTTACACGAAGCAATAAATGTTAAATCTAATGGAACAATTACTTGTAAGTTTCATAGATCCCTATGAATAATAAATAAATGAGACAAATGTTTCTGTCCGTTTCCTTTTATTCAAGTTTCGGATAATAAATCAAACCGAGCACAATTCATTCGCATACCACCGGATGCTTCTGTTTCGCACGTTAAAGAACTAATGCACCGAAAATGGTGTACTGAAGTATGTTTTATCATAATAATAGAAAACAATAAAATAGCGTCGTTTAATAATTGATTTTGTTATTCAGCGACCATCACTTGTTATCTCAATAACAGGCGGAGCAAAAGATTACAATATGAAACCAAGATTACTACGAGCATTTCGACGTGGTCTTCTTAAAGTAGCAAGTACAACAGGTATCGAAATTCAATAGTGTTTTAAATTTTAATGAACATTTACTGTCGGTTCATTTCCTTTCTCGTAGCGTGAAGAAATGAGATTAAAATCAAGATTATAACTACATCATTACTTTTAAAAACGAAACTTTTATTCAGGCTTCTCTCTTTATTTCATACGAATTTCGTATTACGAAATTAGTTTTCAAGTAGTAATTCTACTAAGACTGGTGTTTTTCTCAAATTTTAAACATAAATGAAAGCCGAGGTTAACCAGTAAATGATTCAGAAGTTCACTCTGACTTATTACATCATGTAGAATAGAATTTACAAAATTTACTCAGCCACACTAAACGATAAACATAAAACTTAAACTGTACATTTTTAGAACAAAAAAGGATAAGACTACTGAAAACAGCTGTCATGAGGACGCTCAAACAATCATCAATAAATACGTTTATATTACCTATGTATTTGAAATATTAAATTTTTCCGTGGAAAGATAACGTCAACATTATCATTCATTCGTCTCCTAAAAGGTACCTCTCTATCTTAACGATGTACAAATATTTATATACAATAAATAAAATAATATAAAATCATTTCTTGTTAATTATTATCTGTTAGACATATGTATGATTTGAGACAAAGCATGAAACATGCTCTAAAAGATTCATGCTTCTGCACGTAATGGGTGATTTCAAATTAAGATGATCTTTGATTTGCATGCAGATTTTAAAACGAATGTTGACTTTGATCTATACAATTAAAAAATATTTTCACTCTCTTTGTATTTTTTATAAAAAATATTTTTCGTTTTAAGGTGCTTGGATAATTACCGGAGGTATGAATAGAGGCATTATGAAGCTTGTTGGTGAAATTGTTCAAACAAATCCTAATCGTTCACGTCCAATACATTTAATTGTAAATCAAGTTTTTAAAATTCAATTCATTTATTTGTCATCTACATTTATTACAGGGTATCGCTACTTGGGGTTGTGTATCGGGCTTTCATCAACTTGATGTTCACGGAGCAAATGTACACTATGTTAAGCCACGTGCAGAAGAAAGGGGTCAGGCATCTCTTGAACCTAATCATACTGAGTTTATTTTTGTTGATGATGGAAGTGAACGAAAATATGGACGTGAAATAACATTTCGTGCCAATCTGGAACAACTTATTTCAGGAGACTTTTTTGCAGCTCGATCTACGCCAGCGCTCAACAGTTCATTGCAACCGTTGTCGGGAGCGACATCGTTACGTGCAGAACCAACAGGTCAATATTAATCTTATTCTTATCAACAAAGAAAAATTTAGTAATTACACGTGTTGTATTTTAGATCCTGTACCTGTTGTTCTTCTCGTTGTTGAAGGTGGTCCAAATACTGTTCGAACAGGTTTGACATTTTACTTGTTCAAAACAAGAAAATATCAAAAATTGATATAATTTCTCTTTTCTGTAGTACATGAAGCTGTTGTCCAAAATAATATACCTGCTGTTTTTATTGAAGGAACAGGTCGTTGTTGCGATTTATTTGCTGAAGCAATACATCTGTACAACAAATATCGTGCAAAAATTGAGTCCAGCGAAGCAAATTCACAGTAAATAGAAAATGAAAGTTTAAAAAATTCCCTTGAATATTTAAAAAACAAAAGCTTATCTTCTTTTGTTACATAAGAACTTCATATCCATGCATGCGGTTATTATCGATAAGAGAACGTAGCTAATTGTATGATCGTAATTCTTAGGCTGACTCAATATTGGCAAACTTCTTTCATTATTATTCCGGCACATTCATAAAAAAGAAACATTCACGAAAAACCTTATCCACGAATATTCTCGTATTGGAAATATGAATTTTTTTTAAATTTCGAATCTCGTCAAATATAAATACAGGATGTAAAAATGCTACCGAGTAGAATTTTTTGTAATTTAAATTCAATGTGCTGTAGAAGTAGAGAAGGAACAAGTACTATCCAAAACAGAAGTTTTTTTGTTAGATTTCCATCTTGTTCCATAATGTGACAACGAAATATTATGAGAATCGGATCCTTTTAGACTCAGCTGGTAAATAGACAGAGTTCAATCATACATACGAATCATTTCGAATTAATACTAAATGAATTGTATTCTTCTTATGATATTCGTACCATAGAAATATTTCAAGTTTCATATGAAGGATATGCGCGATTAGTTTTTTATTTCACTGTTTGAATTTTTTTGTCCCTCGAAATCAGTTCTTTGTTATAGATAGAATATTTAAATAGCTATAAAACTATATCTAAAGTACTGATCAGTTTTGAGTTTCATCATGAGAAATAAAGTATTAAATAGAGCAGTAATCAGCATAAAAATATTATATATGCATACAAATCAGTATATGACTAATTAAATCTCAACTTGACAATAGATGTTAGCTAGTGCTTTGCTTGCGCTCTGATGAAAGTATAACATTTCACTCTAGAATTTATACAAAATAGTATTGTTGTTTGTCGGTGATTAGAATAGCACCGAACATATTTGCCTGAGGCTAGTGTAGGGTGGAACGTGAATGGATTTGTTTTCTATACCTTACTCTTACTCTCATATGCTTGTGAATAACATATTTTACTTTTACAAAGTTTCTTTTACTGTGAGCAATCGGTCGGCGTTATGCACACAGCTCTATTACCATTTCTACTCAATACATTATCTGAATTAAATAAATAGCTTCACATAGAATTCAATACACCGAGTTATTTATTTAATATCGAACACATTAATCTTCTGATTAGCCATAGATCTATGATTAGATAATACAATACACATAATAATTCATTCCCATAATTTAGTTCGGATCCAGCCACTATTCAAAGACATAATGATGAATTAAAAAATAAACTGCGAGAAGCACTTAAAGACAAAATTCTTGAAATTAGTGGCGCAGGTGATGCAGCAGGAGGTGGTGCTAATAAAAAACCGTCAAAGCCTGTAGGATCTACAGGCGAAACGAAGCGACGTGAAGGAGATTCCACCGATTATTTTGAATTAGTTTATCAATGTATTGAGAGGCGTAAACATTTTTTAAATGTTATCAGTCTTAATGCACGGAATCCAATTGAACCTGATATTGATGTAGCTATTTTAAAAGCTTTATTGAACGGTAAGAAAAACAGAACTATGGATATTACTGTCCCTTTCATTCTAGAATATAATACACTTTTTATTTAAGCCACTTCGGGTTCCGAGTCTGTTGTATCAGATAAACAACGGAAATGTGAGCAATTTCGTTTAGCTTTGGAATGGAATCGTGCCGATATTGTAAGAAATCATATTATGATACACGAAGAAGATTGGGAAGTAAGGAAAATGCATATTTTCTCTTTCTGTTGTCATAGTTTCAAATATGTTTGTTATTTTTTAAATTTAGAATAGAGAATTAACTGGCCTATTTGAAATAGCACTTAGTCGAAGTCAAACAGACTTTGTTAAATTGTTTCTCGATCATGATTTCTCATTAACTGATTTATTTCGAGACAAAACAAAACTTCCATTACTTTATGTAAACAGCATGCAAGAAGTATAATCATACATTTAATTTTACCTTAATTGTTTCTGCTTGATTTCTTTTTATTATGATAGCATCATGAAATTTCTGTCAACAATGATGATCCATTACGAACAATCTATCAAGAAATGATTCAACCGTTAATAGGCGATTTTTTTGAAGTGGATGTTGCTTTATGCACAAAAACCAATACTTCTGACTCTCTATTAGATAATGAATATCTTGTAGCATGCTCCTGTTGTACGGCGCCTAGTAGACGTGAAGACTATCAAAATCAAATTTCTACTGAAGGTGGTGCAAATCTATCTGCAGAAGGTTAGTTTTTTCAATGCGTTGCATTTTATTACTATGTGACTTGAAGATCATTATTAAATTGTTCCATTTCACGAAAAAGTTCTAAAGCTATGAACAATAAATATCATAAACAATAACATTTATGAGTTTTTTCGTGCAATTATTGAAATTCAGCTTTTATTTTTTGTTTCTATTGAGTAAATCATTGTTTTCATAGTACGATCTTGAGATTACTGTTAATTACGAGACACGTCATAAATTAAAAATTGGAATGGATGGAAATGTGAGCGAAAACATACGTAAATAATAACACGTTCTTTCAAGTTTCAATGTTATATGATGACGAATTTTGAAGCACTCCAAAATTATTAGTCTGATGGATTCAGTTTCTTTGTGTTCAGAGACATACATTCGTAGAAGCAAATTAACTAAGCGTAAAATATTTGAACAGAACGAAATTGTGTGAAAAAAGAAGTGAACAACACGTGGGTCATTTCTCTGATAGCAATCATTCGAAAAATATCACTTTGTAGTACTTTATTCAGGATTATGATGATGATGATGATGAAAGATAAAATTTACTTTATTGATCAGCACTTCAACATCTGCCATATACTCATGAGAGCAAATGAGGAGATATTCATCTGATAAACACTTTATATAATGTTCGATATGCATAAAATCGCATACTTCTATTTTTTGATTAAATCAACAGCAGCTCATGCCGATTCGCATATGGACGTTGACAAAGAACTATTTCTCTGGTCTGTAATAACAGGTCAGCGTGATCTTAATTTTTTATTTTGGGCACGTGGTAAAAACAAGATTTGTACGTATTAAGTAATGTTTATCGTAATGCAGATATGCATTTGTAAAAATTATTTTCCTTAGGTGCTGCATTGATTGCTGTAATAGTTTATAGACATCTTGCTCATAAAAACAACGACATTCGTTATAATCAATCAGCGGATGCATTTGAAAATTTGGCTGTAGAAATTCTCGATCGATTTTATCAAATTAATGCTCGTGCATGTACAAAAGCAATCATACGACAAATACCAGCCTATGGCAACGCTACATGGTTGGAATTAGCAATCAAAGCTGAAGCTAAACAGTTCATTGCTCAACGAGCTGTACAAGATGTACTTAATAACATTTGGTATATGAAAAACAAAATGAAGGCTTTCTTTTCCTAGAACATATTAAACATTTTAATTTCAGGTTTGGTTTTATTGATCAGAGAGAAAATCAAATGACAATTATTTTCTCGACACTTATGCTTTGGTACAGTGGTTTTCTTCGTTATCATGATGAATTAGTTAAAACAAATGATCAATCAACATTTCTAGATGTATTCCTTTGTTTTTGTGACTTTTTGCTCTTCCTTTATTCCGTTTTTTTTCAAATATTTAGGACTCACTTAATAAATCAAATTTATTAGAACGGAATCCAACACTGAAAACAACACGTTCTATAGAAAAGTATCATGTTTTGAATTATTTTATGTTACAGTTCTTTCTTTCTTTATGGATAAAATGCGAGCAAAAAGAATTCATTTTCGAGATCCTATTTTATAAAGAATAAAAAATCTTAGTGATTTTTTCTGACATTTTTGCAGAATTGTTTTAAATTTTCGGGATACTATTCACATTTAGATAAAGTTGAGTTTAAAATGTTGCTTCATAGTTTTCTTATTGTTCGAAAATATTATCATTTACGGCTATCATATTGAAAAAATACGAATCGCTCTTCAGGCAAGGAGTTCACGTCTTATTTTATGTGTCAAAAAGTACAAAAGTTGTGGAGAATTTAAGAGTCTTCACATTCTATTATCTATTCATGTTGAAGTTTATTACTATTATTCTAGGCCAACCGATGATATTCGGCTAAGATTAATGCATGGTGTTGCAGATCAAGATCATTCTCCTGTTGGTTTCGTCGATGTTGGCTGTTTTGAAACGTAAAGCAAAGAAAATTATTCATAGTTACTAATGCATGATATTTGCTTCTATCGCGACTAATCATTTAGTAAACTAATGCTAGAAATAGTTGATAATCATTATACTGTAGGATTATTAATATTTATCTGAAATATTGCTTTCATTTTTATTATATCATTTAAGGGCAAGAAGTAAAGTAATGAAATATTTTGGCAATATTTTAAGATTTCTACGTGCTCCATATGTTAAATATTTATATAGTTTAGTACGTATTCTAGAGACTTCACTAACAACGTTGGGTATAAAAATGTTTACGGGGTTTTTCTAGTATTGTCATATGGCATTCTTAATACTCTTCTCCTACTTAATATTATGTGATTTTTTCCCTCTTTATGATATTGACGTGGCTATGTGTGGACTGTCAAATGATCCTGAAAACATTGAAAATGCTACGAAAACTCATTTGATTAATAAAAATGGAACTGAACTGAAGGCAACAATTCCATATGGACTCCAAAAACATGATCAACCAGCTATTCAAGAATATATACTTTTGATTTGGGTTTCGACGTTACTTTGTGAAGAATTGCGACAAGTAATTTGAATCTAACTTTATCTTATTTTCTTTTTTTTTCGGTCTCAATTTATTCGTAGTTCTTTTCTGGGGAAGCACAATCAGTGCGTAATAAAATTTCAGCATATTTTGGCGTATTTTGGAATCAGCTAGATGTTGTAGCAATACTTCTTTTTTACGTTGGTTTTGCTCTTCGACTTCTTCCATCAGCAGAATGTTTTTGTGCAGCACGTATCGCTTTATCGGTTGATCTAACACTGTGGTTCATGCGTACATTAAATATATTTGCAGCTATTAAACGACTTGGTCCTAAACTTGTTATGATAGGTGAAATGGTAAATACGATCATAAAAGAATTGTTTTGATTTGTTTTCTGAAAACTATTTTAAGGTACATGATTTAAAATTTTTCATGCTGATGTTAACTGTGTTTATTTTGGGATTTGGTGTATCATCTTATAGTCTTATTCATGGTACAAAAGAATTTAGTTGGCATTTACCTCGTGAAATTATAAATCTTGCCTATTGGCAAATGTTTGGAGAGTTGAATTCATTGGATACGTTCGAAAGTAAGAAGGCAATAAATTATGTTATTTCGTTTTTGTATTTTGCTTTATATTTGAAAATGATAAAATTCGTTTTTAATTCAGATAATTACCGGGAGACCGGAATTTCGGCCCACGGAATTTTCGGGCCGGACTTTCGGCCCGGCCCGAAATTCCGGAGATTTTTCGGGCCGGTCCAAAAGTCCGGAAGGAATTTCGGCCCGGCCCGAAAATTCTCCGGACTTTCGGACCAATTTTATACAAATTCATTAAATTCTGGAAAAAAAACGAAATTTTTGAAAATTGACTTCTCGATTTATTAGTGCCGAGCGAAGCGGCGTAGTGCCGAGCGAAGCGTCGTAGTGCCCAGCGAAGCGTCGTAGTGCCGAGCGAACGACGTAGTGCCGAGCGAAGCGACGTAGTGCCGGGCGAAGCGACGTAGTGCCGAGCGAAGCGGCGTAGTGCCGAGCGAAGCGTCGTAGTGCCCAGCGAAGCGTCGTAGTGCCCAGCGAAGCGTCGTAGTGCCCAGCGAAGCGGCGTAGTGCCGAGCGAAGCGGCGTAATGCCGAGCGAAGCGGCGTAATGCCGAGCGAAGCGGCGTGGTGCCGAGCGAAGCGGCGTAGTGCCCAGCGAAGCGGCGTAATGCCGAGCGAAGCGACGTAACGTTCTAGACCGTTTATTTATATACTGCAGTTCAATAACATTTTCTTGAGTAAATTTTATGCGTATGGTTAGCTTTCTATGTCAGTAGAGATAAAATAATACATGAATTTTACATTATATATCCTACAACCAAATCCATCTCTCCTTCAATTAATATGTCCCTTACGAAATACAATGATGCGTAAATTCACAATATAAAATTTAAAAGCTTACTAATGTGAATTTGTTCTCGTCGAAGTGTAAAATGCCTGTCTATTGAACTTCTCCAATTTCTTAGAATGATATTTTAAGAAGTTTATCGACAATTAATAGTTTTATCTTTATTCACATCGAAACAGCATATATGTTACTTTCTCTGAAATCGTTTAGTGTTTTGCTCAGTACACTGTCTGATTGTTCAAATTAAATTTTATTGTTCTTGATTAGCTTTCTTCTCTGTATATTCTACTGTTCTAATGTATTCGCTCTCTCTCTCCCTCTCTCTCTCTCTCTTTGGTTGTATAATTCACATACGTGTTATTTCATGCCTACTTCGCCACGGATCTTTCGCGATTCACAAATTTGTTCTATTATTCTCTATCACTATCGTCATTTGCATCAAATTTTACTTTTCTTCTCGTCAGGTTCTTTTGTGATATCGTCCGATATGCTCGTCTCTTATTTTCTTTGTCATTCATATTATATAGCCATATACATTCTCTATTCCTTTGTGTGATTGTTATTAACGGTGGACGGCATGTACAACTTATCTGACTTGTTGATTCAATAAATGCAAGTAAAACTAAAAATAACTTATTCTTCTCGTCACGCAGCTTAATATCTTCCTGATCTACATTGAAAAGCTGGTAAGATCTTATTCAATAAATCAATATGTCCATTTTTTCTCTATTTTATGAAGCGATTTATGGTATTATAAATATAGGTACTTCTATTAATCCACATCAACTACAGAAGACCTCAAATATTTCAAAAATGAAGAATGATGATGATCGATTCCTTGACTTAATGCAACTATCTTTGATAAATCATAATCGTATAGATATAGATACTGATTCAGAACCTGAGTTAGATACACATAGTGATAATCATTATTACGAGGTGGTCGACAAAGATAATATAACTTTTGGGAAAACTAATCGTGGTGGTCGGGAACTTCATATGTGTGGTTATTCATACCAGGTGAAAAAAGAAAACTTAACAACAACTCGCTGGAGATGTGCTGTTCGTTCACCAGCATGCCCAGTAACTATACATACAAGCAATGTTGATGATAGTGTTATTCACTGGAATAGTGTTTATCACCACCATGCTCCAAACGGAAATCGCGAACTCATTAAAGGAATAATCGCAAAAATAAAAAGCAGAGTGTTGACTGAACCTTATCCGGTTGTTCTCATAGCCGAAGAAGAAATACGTTATGCTAAATTTACTAAAGCACAATTGGCTGTTATGCCTCTTCCTAGTCATATGGGTACGTTAGGAAAATAACACATTGGAGAAAATATTTTCTTAATTGTTTACTTTTTTCTGTTTCTTAGAATCGGCTCTGCAAAAGTATCGAAGAAAACATATTCCTGCGTTACCGTCATCACTTGATTTCAAAATTCCATTGCTTTATCAAAGTACATGGTCTGGAGAAAAATTCATTATCGCTGATACACAGAGAAAAAAAGTTGGAGGTCGGTTGATAATGTTCGGCTCTAATGAACAAGTTGATTTACTATTGAACAGTACAACTTGGTTCTGTGATGGTACATTTAAAACGAGGCCGTTAATATTTGATCAAGTATATATTATACAATGTCTTGTTGGTGATGAAGGTACTAAACTTGGTTATTTTTCTTTTGTGCAAGCAAAGTATCACGATTTTTTCTTTTTTTTCAGTGTTTCCAGCTATATACGCGCTGACTTCTAATCGTCAGCGTAAAACTTACGAAGAAATGCTTAATATTATATTGGAATTGGCTGCTAATCGAAGGGTGGTTTTGCGTGTAAAAACAATTGTCTCTGATTATGAAGAAGCTTGGCTACTAGCAGTGGAAAAAATGGTAAGCTAATTAGTTTTACAAACTGCTCGAACGCAATCAAATTTTTTTTTATAAGCAAACATTTTTCTTTTTTTTTTTCTTTATTTAGTTACCGAATGTATGTCGATTGGGATGCTGGTTTCATTTTTCGCAGGCGTGCTATCGTAACATCCAAAATCTGGGTTTGACTAAACTATATGAAGACGATCCAAATATCCGCTTGGAGCTTAAAAAGTTCATAGCACTAGCACTACTTCCACGTGATCAAGTGAAGAAGGGTTTTAAACGATTGAGCAAAAATGCCGACGATCGAATAAAACCATTCGTCAGTTATTTTAAAAACCAATGGATGAATAATATGGGACCTGACCTTTGGTGTGTGGCTGATTCAATGATCAGAACAAATAACAGTTCTGAAGGTAACTGCATTTTATTTTAACTTACAGTGGGTCATCTTGAAATCTTTTTTTTACTATTTTTCAGCATATAATCGGCGCTTTGGTAGCAGAATGATGCAATCACACCCAAACATCTGGAAATTCATTCACACACTGAAAAATGAAGAGCAAGTTTTAGTTCAAAAAAATATTCATCAACTGATCGGAGGTGGTAATAGTTTTGCTGCCACGAAAAGAAAGAAAGCAAAAAAAGCTGTAAAAAAGACATATCAAATTGTAAAATTGCATCGTCTATTTGCTGAGGAGAAAAAGTCATTGGAACAATTAATTCTTGGGTTATCGTTTCTAGTAGGTGAACTGATTTCAACTAAAAAAAAGAAAAAAGCTAAAACGTAATGCCTTACGTTAAAATGATGAATATATCGTTTTTTTTTTAATGTTTTCAAACTTTTGTTGCTGTAGAAGAAATTGTCTATCCTATAGTGTATCTTATAAAGAGAAATACTTTATTTTTCAGTTTCAAGTGCTTGAAATTTTTCAAGCGAGTTGATTTGCTATCTTCATATTTGATACTTGTTTTTCTTCCTTCTTAAATATTACTCTACTATTTAAATATTTATTTTTCAGACGTACATACTTCACTATTTATATTTTGACGTCTATTGATTAAAGCTGGTTTAGTTTTGAATTCATTACTACAATAGTTATGGTGCATCACCACTTTAATTATGCTGATTTGGTGAACTTCGGTAAGCAATCTATCCCAAACACAAGTCTTTTCGCAGCTTTTAAAGGACTTTGATAGTCATTGTATTTTATTTCTTCTTAGATGGTCTCGTGCATAAATGTTTAATCGCTGTTCCACAATATCAACAAATGTATCCTGCACCGAGACCTGATGTTTCAGAATCTCTTGAACAAATGGTTACAAAAGGATTTCTATTAAATCAAAATATTGTATGGCATAAAACTACTCATAGTCAGAAAAGATACTATTGGATATTGAAACCTAATGGAGATGATGAAATTCGTGTTAAAGTCGGTAGTGGTGTTTATGGTAAAGTTGGTGAGTACCTATGCTTAAATGATTCTTTTAAAAAAACATCTCTAATATATATTGATTCTTATTTACTTTCTCATTATTAGATCGTGATCTAAGAATATTAACATCTACGGTAGAATGTAAAACAATTGTTCATCAGTTCTTGAACAGTTGGCATACAAATGGATTTTTGCCTGGATGGAAATCAATTTGGACAGTTTTCAATATTGAAAACTATGATATAAGTGAAAGAAGAGTAAAAGCTATTCACAGGATTATAAAAGATAACGTTAGTCGAGGAGAATTCAAAGTTAGTAATATGAAAAACTCTGATAGAGAGTAAGTAAAGAAAAAAAGCTTTTTTATTAAATCAGATAACTTATTTTCATTTTTGTTTCCTCTTTTTTTAAGTTCATCAAATATTCGACTACTTTATGAACCTGATTTTGATATTGACGATCAAGAAGATGGACTTCTTGCAGAGAATGATGCAAGCGACAAAAGTGCTAGTATACAACAACTGCCATCTGCTACTTTAACTCAAGAGTATGAAACTTTTTTTTCTGTACAGATGCAAATAACAGATTCTTTCTTCATAATTATATGCTTCTGAGAAAGTTCAATTAAAATTTGAGATCATCGATAGCATTTCGTTATATCATAAGGATAAATGTATTTATTTTTATGCAGAAAGATTTCTTACAAATAATAAACTGAATTGCTATTTTTTATTCATATATTATCGTTTCGTATGAAGTTATAATAATGACTATGTTCAAATGTTTTTTATAATTATATGAAACGTCTATTGTTCAATTATATCATATAGAAGAGCCATATTTGAATAAAGGATAGTTTATCCTATTCTCTAATAATATTGATGCTAGTATCGTTAGAATAATATTTAAATGTTCAGACTCTAATTATAAAAAAATTACAATTGATCAACAAATAGTTTCCCGTACTTATAACTGAATCATCATAATAAACGATTATATATGTAAATAAATATTTGTGAAGAAAAATAAAATGAAACTAAAGGGAAAATTTGAGAGAAAATTATTATTAACGAAAACATGTTACTGCATATATTCAAAACATTTATTCATCTGAATACCATAAAACTTATCTACATTTCTTTTCTTTATATAGAAATCAAACGATGGTTGTGTCAGAACAAGATTGTTGTATCTATTTATCGTCAAAAAGTAGTGATACAATAAACGATAATGATAATAGAATGGACCAAGCAACCATCATAAATCAAACATTAGAAGAATCTACGAACACGACGACTTCTACTTGTTCACCAACAATCAGACAAGCAATAAAAGATATATTCTCACAAGATGAAATATCATGTGGAACTATTTTTGCTAGTTCAGATGATCCTGATCCTGATCCAGATCCAGATAATTCTATTGCTAACAATTTTTCGTAAGTGGCAATAGCTCACTTGAAGAACGAAACTGTTCTTATGTTATGTATTCTATTTACTATTCTATTTTAATCTAGGAATATTGATGAAACACCACGAACATCTCTACAACCATTATCTCAAGTGTCTGCTGTTTCAACAAGTTATCGTCAAGCAACGCCACCTACACCAACAACGACAACAACTAACAATAAAAAAAAACGAAAAAGACGTCATTACACACTTAGAGAAATTCCATATAATACAAGAACGAGAGACGCTGGAGCAGCTTCAAAAATAGATTGACGCTCGAATTCTGCTTTTACTATTAGGGGAGGTTTTCTTCTTTTTCATGTATTTCTTCAACTCTTTATTGAACCGTAGCTTTTCTTTTGCATAGAAGAAAAACTAATTGAAATAAAAAAAAGCGAATTTATACCTAATAAACATCTCAACAAATTTCGAAAAAAACACCAGCAATACTGAATTCTACATATAAAAAAAGAGAAAAGTGCATCCTTAAGTCAATATTAAGACTACATTAGATTCGTTCTTGCTTGCTGTAGATAAACGATATGTATCTTAAAACGCCATACTATTTTCTATAGTAATAGAAGTGCTGTTTTAAACACTTACTTTGCTCGACAGTACGTCGCTTTGCTCAGCACTACGACGCTTCGCTCGGCACCACGTCGCTTTGCTCAGCACTACGACGCTTCGCTCAGCACTACGACGCTTCGCTCAGCACTACGACGCTTCGCTCAGCACTACGACGCTTCGCTCAGCACTACGTCGCTTTGCTCAGCACTACGACGCTTCGCTCAGCACTACGACGCTTCGCTCAGCACTACGTCGCTTTGCTCAGCACTACGACGCTTCGCTCAGCACTACGACGCTTCGCTCGGCACTACGTCGCTTTGCTCAGCACTACGTCGTTTCGCTCGGCACTACGGCGCTTCGCACAGCACTGCGTCGCTTCGCTCGTTACTAAAAAAAATCTAGAAACCAATTTTCAAAAAAATTCTGTTTTTTTTCAGAATTTAATGAATTTGTATAAAATTGGTCCGAAAGTCCGGAGAATTTTCGGGCCGGGCCGAAATTCCTTTCGGACTTTTGGACCGGCCCGAAAAATCTCCGGAATTTCGGGCCGGGCCGAAAGTCCGGTCCGAAAATTCCGTGGGCCGAAATTCATGTAACCCTAATTACCGAGCAAATGGTTATGCTGTATTTATTTTACTTGTTGTTTACATGGCAATAGTTAGTATACTTTTGGTTAATTTACTTATTGCAATGCTCAGGTATTTAAACGAAAGTGACAGAAATGCAGTTAGTTTGATCATTGTGTCAAAAATACCCACATAGGCCGACTACGCTAACCTAGATCGTTTTAGACGTGTCACATATTTTCTCGGAAGACTTTGCTCGAGTTGCTAATATTAATTGATGATTGTGAAACATACTTCAACTATTCGAAATGTTCTAGAAGTCATAAGTGATGGATAACAAATGAGCCCCTTTTCAATGTTAGTTTTTATCTAAAACCTTTAACATATGCTTGTTCTACATAGAATTGAATTTTCTAGATAATCTAGAATTTGAACTTTGGATAATATGCTCTGTTTTTCGGGAGTTTTTGAAACTGCGAAACACCATCAACGTTTTCCTCCCAAAAATGATTGACTTCTAAAAATAAATGAGAGTAATAATCATGTTTATCAAAGAAGATAGAGCCATATTATTTAAAAGGCGTGATACATTTTCACTTCGCCTAATACCACTTTCTGATGCAAATGATCAGATCTCTTCGAAATTTTTACTAATGTCTTGTGCATAAGATTTATTTTCAGATATAAATTTCATCGAAAATGTTTCTATTTAATAATGGTTAAATATTAAAAGAAGCATGCTCGTTGTAATGCTTTGTATGTTTCAAATAAAGTATGTAGTTAAGAAAATGAGTTTACTACTCATTCCCAAAACTGTACGAAAAGCCAGGACGTATCTATTTCGAGTGCATTTTGTGTGAACGTTTTTATTAAATTGTAAAAGTTTTTCATGATACTGTATTCTATTATTTTTATTGAACTAATGTTTATAAATGAATAAAATCGATGAGAAATCGATGGAATTTAAGGATAGTCACTAAATTTGGGGGTCCTCATAGAAAATTAGAAAATCAGAAAAATTGCCAGAATCACTAGAAATCAGTATGTTCTTTTTTACAGTATGTTTGGAGAATTTTTGTAATATGAAATGATTTCTAGTGATTTTCAGTGATTTCTGGCACAAGAAATCAGTTTTTTTCCCCTTGACTTTATCATGTGAAAATCATTTAGACTCATTCATTATATCAATTTTCATATAAATATCAGTATTGAAAGCTGAATTCGCTAATAATCAATAGAGGAAAATTCTTTAAGATCAGTTGGGTAGTGTAATGTTATTTCACTTTGGATTGAATTTTTGAAAACAGTGTTTTTGATAGTTTTTATGTAAGAGAAAATCTATAAAAAGAAGTTTATTATCTATATATTTGGATATACGAATATTAGAAAACGTTTTCATGAATCGTTTAAAAACATTTGTAGGGATGTAACAATACCATTTGGAGACACCTAAAGATGGCCAATTTTCATAATGAAGATCTACCAATACCAACCAATACTTTGTGTCACTTATAACCGACGAACTTAGCTCTACTCGATAGAAGAATAAAAAATACCAATACCAACAGAAAATATCCCCAGTATTGGTGAGTATTGATGAAAATTACCGTTTTTTTTTACCAATACTCACCAATACTGGGGATATTTTCTGTTGGTATTGGTAGATCTTCATTATGAAAATTGGCCATCTTTAGGTGTCTCAAAATGGTATTGTAACATCCCTAAACATACGCTATATCAGTTTGTACTACCTCGAGACTGAAAACATTTGATGTCGTCATACTAATAATATATTATTAGCCCCAGAACAATTGTTAATATAGCACAGTCAGATAATAACCAACTGCTCACGTATCAAACTGATGGCGGTTTTTCTACATTTCAAATCGCATATAAAGTATCTTATTAGTAGTAGATGGAACAGAATTATAAATACGGCATAGTTTCCAATAAGTGAGATAATGTTGCATGCGTTTCGGAATCAAATGCGAACATTCCGATCATTTTGAAGAGTACTTGTAAGAATCACCAAGTTTAACGTTTACATCATCTCCTTTTACTTTTTGTTAGTAATACCTTTGATCGACTTCAAACTGATACGGATCGAATTTGGAAATTCCAAAGATATGAATTGATCTGTGAATATTTATCTCGACCATCGTTACCCCCTCCACTTATACTTTTTGCTCATCTTTGGCGATTCGGATTATATATATTATCACGATGTGTTAGTTCACCATGGCTTAATGCACTCTATGATCAACATACCAAACGTACTAAATATGGTAGTGAAGCGCGTTCGTTTTTGCTATGATTCAAACATGTCTTTTTGTTCTTCTTATAGAAATAGCGCTTGATGAGAAATCTGCGACTAATATCGAAATAGCTGAAGATGCACTTGGTGATGAAGTTTATTATAATTTTTCGAAACATGGCTTGCAATTAATTGAAGAACATGAACTTGATGAGGAACAAATGTAAGCAAATGTTTGAGAAAGTTGCTTTTTTTACTGCAATTTTTCTTTTCAACATGTTCAGCACTTCACCACAAGAGGGCATGTTAAAGAAAATACGAGCACTTGAAAATCGAGTACAACTGATCGGTGATCAAGTAATGTTCTCCATCTTGTATTTCATCGTCGTATTAAAAACTGAATATATGTTTTTAGCAAAATCAAGTATTAGACTATCTTGATTGTTTAATGGAAGGTATGAAAAAGATGGGTGGAGACAGTATAAGAATGCCTGATCGCCGCCATCTGGAACTAGATGAACCAAGTAGGTTAAAAACTGGGTTACTTAAAATAAAGTGATGCTTTATGTAACTAAATAGTTGAAGATACAATGAACCATATTGGTCATCCGAGACGAGAACTTCGACGAGAATCTTTAATAGATGAAGTATATACTCCAATCGTTATCCCTTCGGGTGTCGCACCAACAACACCTACTAGTTCTTCCCAATCAATTAAAACGTAATTATGCACAATAGTTCATCTTATTAATGTTTTTCTTTTTTGTTTTCTTTTTCTTCATGATGAATAATACGCATGTAAAGTATTTTTGTTAATTGATATCTTAACATTTATCACCCTTTCGCATGAATCGAATTCTATTCAATTTTTTATTTTATAATCAATATTTGTCATATAAATTTTTTCTTTGCAGAATTTAGGATGGAAATCTACAATGAAGCAAAATACAGTTGAACTTATTATTTAAACTCAAATAATAATGTGCACTTAGAAACTTGAATTCATCATAATCTACTTCTAATCTATTGTTTTTATTGTGTAACACTGATTATGTTTACATCTATTTCAGTTTTATAATTTATTGATTAACTTAGTTCTCATATTTCTTTAATAAGTAAATAAATAAAATGCCAAACGATATTCGAATCTTTGATTTGTTTTCAACGATCTAGAGATTATTTAATAGTTTCCATTGATTCAAATCCATATTGCAATTAAAAGAAAAAATCAGATTAGTTTTTTTTTCTAAAATGAACTTATCATTAATATTGTGGCTCGTTGTCCCAATCAAATACATCTTATTTTATTATACTCTATACGTCGAGTTTTAACGTTTCATCATCAGTTCATCCATTCACAAATGTACAACTTTAATTGACTCACTATGATATGATTGTGTTATATTCGAATGATAGTGACTCACAAAATTTCGACTGTTGCAAGCATTTTCTGTGTTTAGACAAGTCTTTTTATTTGTATTAGAATTGTAAAACTACTTTATTGTTTAAAAAATTGAATAAAAATTTCATCTTCGAAGCTTGAGATGAACTAGAGTTGACTTGATCCAATTATGTACCATCTTTCTGAAGCTGTGATACTGATCTTATCACTAGAATACAAGTGTTGTTGTAATCATTATCACGAGAGAAGCCCTTTTGAATGACTATGCTAGCAATACTTTTTGCCTTTTTACATTTATCCATAGTTCACTCAAGTCTACTTAAAGTTTTGGTTGAATTAGAACTATTTGCAATAGAAATTTCACTCCTTTGCTAAATTAAGTTCTTAATTCGTGAAAAGTTAATAAACTCAATCTACTATGTGCGAAATTGTTTTGCAAGAAAAAGTTGAAACATCGTAAAATTGGTAGCAGAAATTAGTTATAATCATTTTGCTTTTCTACTAAAACCAGGATTCAATTCAAACAGAAAAGCAAATGTAGGTATGCTATATAAATAATTCAATAATATAATCAATAGTTTATTTTTTATTTTGTCGAAAACAGAATTATCAATCTAAAAATAAACAATAGATTTAGCAACTAATTCCATTGTATCCATGTTTCTTATTTTACATTTTATTGGAAAGCTTTATTTCATGAAAAGCTAGCCTATCAGTTGAATACTATATCCTTCATCTTGTTTGCTTTGAAATATAAAGAAATTTATATTTTCCCTTGAAATAAATTTCGAACCATTTCGCGACCTGAAATACGTATTGTATGATAAAACGTAACAATGTCTAAAGTTGAAGTAATTGTATCTGCTAAACCGAATGGCATCATAGGAGGTATCCATCCACGAGCATATTCAAGTGCCCAACATCCTCGGTGCATTTTAAATTGTTTTGAATTACCTTTTGGTAGATAATGAACGCTACCAACTTGATAAACTTCTTTATCTAAAGAACCAGCTGAAAATGCCCATTGTTCGCCGTACAATATATGAAAATAATCATCGGCTGTATGCAATCCAGTGTGACCTTCTGTACCAAGTGGTGTACCAAATATAATAAGATATTCTGTAAGTGATGCATGTATAATAAACATAGCACCCATGGCTCCACCGGCATTATTAAATATCCATTCTTCTTTATTTGTTAAATACCGATTGTCAATTGTATTTCTCAATCCAGCAACAATATAATCAATTACCGGACGTAGTGTATTAGGACTTTCTTGAACTATTGGAATTAATTGATCATTAGTAATATTTAAATGCCCATGCTGAACAAGTGCCTGTTTGGCAAGTGTATGAAGCTGTTCTGGATCGAATATATAAAAGCGTGTTTTCATTGAATCCAGTACACCAATGATAATAGCTAAACAGATCACTACGAGACTTACTATCAGTAATAAATTCTGTTTGGACATAACTATTAGACAATGAATAATAAATCTAAAACATAGATATTGATGGTGTGACCACAAGTCTTGTTTAATGATATCACTCGTTATCTTTTACTTTTGATATGCCATCGTGCTCTTGTTTCACTTTTTCCTTTTTTGCTCTTAACTATACATGGGATGCATATCTCATGTTTTTCTTTACTAAATATTGACTTGTCTCTTTATCGAACACATCAATTCGTCTGAAAAAATGCTTTTTAAGATTGTCAGTCGAGTTTTTTTCAAAAGTATCTTTGTTTCTTCAAACGATTATAACCATAATAAATTTAGTAGATATTCATAATTGGCATTTAGCATTGAAGGAAATGATTCATTCTCAAATAAAGTTGCATTAAATTTATATGAAAGAATTACAAATCCTATTAGAAAATAACATTTTTCATTACGAAATATTATACAATATAGTATGTAAAACGTTGACATACCTCTTTATTTAATTATGCTTTTGTATTTTTCACTACAAGTTTTACGCCCTCTATTCTTTATTCAGTAACATGTATTACATTTTCAATAAATATTTGGTACAGTACGGAAAAGTGAAAATTTGGATTTTTCTGATGTTTTCTTTGTTCTTCTAGTAGTAACAATTACGTTTATAGTAAATAAATTGGTAAGAAGAATGCACATTTTAGAAATCGCACTATTTTGAATTATTCAAATTTCATGATGATATCACATAGTCTATTAATCGTAGGAATCTGTTTGCTCAACGCAAAAAATTCGTTTCATACTATAGATTTCCTATTTTCATTGATGAAAAACACACAATATTTTCCTATGTCGGGTATGCCTTTAATATAAAACAAAAAGAGGTTTCAAACAATATTTACAATTCTTTAATAAAGATCGCACAGGATTCATTTTTCTGTAGTTTAACTAAGGAAACTTTTCTGACTCTTATCATACCTTATCTTGACAGAATTCTATCCTTATCATAACTGATCATGTATATATAAATACAAATTCATAATACACAAAATAGATAGGTTTTTGTATGTATATATCAATATATTTTTAGATCATCGGTTCTGCTGCAGTTATATATTATCATGGATGATTGCGATCTTGATCTTATCGATGAGCTTTGCTCATCCTTTTGTACACCACGCACGAGTCAAAAAACAAATGAAAATAATACACCAAGTGTAAATGAATCCTTATCTCTATCAAATCGGAAACGTACATCGACATGTAATCCACTCGACAGTTCGAAAATCAAGAAAGCTTGTTTATCCGATGTATCTAATAGATCAATTGTCGATGAATATGATGAAATCAGTACACTTGATGAATCAGCACTTCAAATGCTTGTAAGTTAATAATGATCATAAAAAACTATTATTCGATTGTTTAAGTTTTGAAAAATATGTTTGTTATTAATTATAAGACATGCCGTTGATTTTTGTGGAAATATTTTAGTGTGAAGAATGGGAACCGCGATCACAATTTCCAACTTTACTGACTCGTGTTGCTGATCTTCTTGAAAAATATCGAAATATTCAATCTTTTCATAGTGAGTTAGTTTGAAATTTATTAGATTTTTGTATCGGTAATCAATTTTGTATCTATCCATACAGATTGGCAGAAAAAATGCCTCGATTTACCAGCTCGTCGAAAAAATCAAAATCTAATATATACTCTTCCAACCAGTGGTGGCAAAGTTCGTTAAAATATTCAATTTTTTGTTCTACAATGTAGGTGATTTCTTTTTTTACTATAGACATTAGTTGCTGAGATTATGATGCTAAATTGTTTACTTCATCGACGTCTTGATGCTATTTTTATTTTACCATTCGTTGCAGTTGTTCAAGAGAAAGTAAATCTTGATTTGTTTTTAATACCATCACGCATAACTTTTACTATGCTATTTAGGTACGAAGTCTTCAACCATTTGCCGATGAACTTGGTATATAAAGAAAATTTACTTTATTGTATGCATGAACATGTATTTCTGCTAGACTTTCATCTTGAAGAATATGCAGCCAGTAAAGGGCGTTATCCACCTATAAAACGTCGAATGAAACGATCACTGTACGTGTGTACAATCGAAAAAGCCAATTCATTAATTAATAGTTTGATTGAAAATAATCGGATGGCTGAAATAGGCATTGTGGTTGTCGATGAGGTATACTGTTTTAGATTTTGAAAAAAAAAGAACAAACAACAAAGAAAATGTCTTGCTTACTTTTCACAATTACTACATTAGTATGACTCTTTCAAGTTAAGAATTGAGATCTGTAAAATACGCACAGAGAGATAGGCACGTCTTTTAGATCAGAAAAACTATTCATTCATAATAAAGATGTACAGGGTAAAATTGTTTTGGTAGCCATAGTCTGAATGAGAAAGTTTTTCTAACTTTCATCCTAGTCTACAATGTAAGATCGATCAACCATGTATATCTCTATTCGATATGGATTCGAATCTACTAGATAGTAATAATTGTAGACTGTCAAAACTAGTAATTAGACGTTAAGTTTAATAACAAAATTTGATTTCGAAAATCGAAAAAATTTGTTACGCTTCATCTCATTGAACCTTACATAACGATCATATGAAGTGATTGATTGATTATCTGATCAATATCAAGTTTCTGAAGTTATTTACCAAATAAGAAAACAAAGTTTTGGATATGAATTGATATTTTTTAATTTAATTTTACATATTTGGAAGAATCTCACGCAATTTTTTAATGTAAGAAAGAGTATTACGAGGAAAAGTAATTACAACAAACGACCACCAATCTAAAAGTTATAAGTAGATCTTACGACTTTTGAGTATAGATTAACATTTTAGTTAAAACGATGACTTTTATCGTGAGATTAGTTTATATTAAAAATCTATCAACACAAAAAAAATGACAATTTTCGATTATCGATTGTTTTAACAGCGAGACAATATCAAGGACTAACAATTTTAATATATTCTTGAAATAACAAGAGACTATTTAGGAGTTAAATTTAAAATAAATGAATAGGAAAATGGTACCTCTAATTGTTTAACTCGAGTCATTTTCTAGTTATAAATGAAAAAATGAAAGTGTTTTTTTAAAACATTATTTCTCTTTATAGTTGCACATGATTGGTGAAGGACAAAGAGGAGCTATACTTGAAAGTCTTCTTACTAAAATACGACTATTAAAACGTAAGCTACACATATAATAAAATAAAATGACTCGATTATTTTGATGGATTCGCCTAGCTCAACCTCAAATTGTTGGCATGTCAGCAACATTAGCTAACATTGACGATTTACTCAAATTTCTTGATGCACAATTCTATGAAGAACGTTTTCGACCAGTAGAAATGCTAATATAAAATAAATTGTCATGACATTTTTTATTTTGAAATGTAGGTAGAGCTTGAAGAATATGTCAAAGTAAATGATATTGTGTATAAAATTGATCGAAATAAGGCAAATCACAACGATGAATTAATTGAACATAGACGATTGGATTTCAAAGTTTGTTAAACGGTTTTCCTCTGAACAAAGAAACATATTTTTATTTTAAGTACACAAAACAAAATTTGTTAAATGATCCGGATCGAGTTGTTGGTTTGAGTAAATTGATAAAGTTGATTGATTTCTCTCATACATTGATTTATTTGAACTTTGTTAAGTTTCTGAAGTTATTCCAAATGATTCATGTCTAGTTTTCTGCCCATCCAAGATCAATTGTGAAAATGTTGCACGATTAATCATTAGTTTTATGCCTGAGTAATTATTGTGCTGTTCAATGAATTTGAAAAATTCTTTTAAATTATTTATAGAAAATTACTTGAAGATAATCGTGAAAAACGTTCTATTTTACTTGAAACATTAGTAGAAGTAAATGAAGGTGATCTATGTGATACACTTAAAGCAGCAATACCCTATGGAGTTGCTTACCATCACAGTGGTTTAACAGGCGACGGTAAAAGTCAAGCAATCCACGTATCTTTGTTTTGTTAATCATGTTTTTATTAGAACGTCAACTGATTGAAGAAGCATTTCTAGATGGCATTTTAACATGTTTAACATGTACATCAACACTTTCAACTGGTGTCAATTTACCAGCAAAAAGGTAGAGAAATTTGATGAACAAATCCTCATTAATAAAGTCGATTGAAAACAGGGGAGACAGTTTGAGCACATGTTCGTGATTGGTCTTGTATAATAAAGTTTTGAAAATTTGAAGTTTTTTTCATGAAATTTTCAAATTCATTTTGTAATTATTGATCAAAACAAGCTATACTCTCAACCGGTAACGAAATAGGCTATCGTCTCACTAGTTGATTCCAGTTAGAGACATAGTGAATACAAAGGTGTAGCTGTTTTAAATAACGTCACATATGGATAACTTCAAGTATACTATATACTCTAATATTCAAATTTTTAGAGTTATTCTTCGATCACCTTATGTCGGTAGTCAATTTTTAACTTTTGCACAATACAAACAAATGAGCGGTAGGTACTGTTTTTTTTAATAGTAAGAATCTATCCCTATGGTTACTTGATATCCATAAAGGTCGTGCTGGTAGAACAGGCCAATCTCAAACTGGCGAATGTTTTGTGATTGCTCATGAAAGAGATATGAAACAAGTAGATTTTTGCTTGATAATTTCAAAAAGATTTCTTTCATTTTGTACTGTTTCAGCTGCGAGAAATGTTATTTACTATGGCCGAGAATAATACCGGCTGTGACAGTCATTTAGCGACAAACAATAGTTATGCAATCAAACAACTTCTATTAAATGCAATTAGTCTTCGAGTAAATAAATAAGTTGTTATTTTTGTCAATAATCTCCATAGATTATTCTGTCAATGATTAGATATGTTCGACGTATGAATCATTGTTGAATCTTTTACAAAAAACTCTTCTTGCTTTACAAGCTGATCGTCTTCATGTTAATCTTGAAAGTTTACTTGATGAATGTTTACAATATCTTATCGATGCAAACATTATACGCGTCAAAGAAATAGAACAAATAAGTGATGATAACCATGTCGAAAAAGTTAAAAAACTAGTTTATGAAACAACAAAACTAGGCAAAGCAACTGTCGAAGGTTGATAGAAAAAAATATATTTCATTTATTTGAAAATATGAGATTAGAATTGAATATTTTGCTTTTCAATCCTTAGGTAGTGTGGACTTAGGGCTGGCTACATCAGTATACAATCATTTGGCAACAAGTTTGATTGATATGAATTTAGAAAATCCTTTGCATTTACTTTATATTACTATACCATTTGATCTACCTAATATGACGATTGGCTTTCGTCAGCTTGTTGATCGAGTAAGGCGTTGAAACACGTTTATGGAAGAAAACCTAGACTATAAATTTATTTATTTGGAATGCAAGAATTTTATCCTTCAACTCCGATATTGAATTCAGAGAAGACATTCATGAAACAATTTAGTAATTAAAATTAGAATGATGTTATTTTTTTTTGATGATCTCGTTTGAGTAGTCGTGAATGTTTTCATTGCCTCGGCAATCCTACAGAATAGGAAAATTTACTTATTATTTCTTTATTTATATCATTGAATGAATAAAAATTGTATCTACACATAACTGTAAAAGTCACGGAAATCTGAGGGGAATGAATCTATATACATTATTTTAAAAAGAATAAATGTCTTTTTCATAAATGTAGTCAACTCATGATTCGAATCATTCTAAAATCAGTAAAGATATTCAGATTATAATAAACAAGTTTTCGTCATTTCATAATTTGAAATTATGATGAAGGTATATTTCTACGATCAAAATATCATTCGAAATTTCAAAAGACAAACATTTCTATGCCGATCACTGACAATATTAGTTGACTCATTAACAGTTATGATTTTTTTTAAATGAATTTTATCTATTTAGTTTTTTTATTATTTAGATGCAAGAAATGAAAATTGAAGAAAAACTCGTGTTCAAATTGATGGATATCGATGACACATTCTTGCACAAAAAAGCTGTTGGTTTACCAGCACAACAGGTACTAATATAGAAGATTTTTTGTAATTAAATAAATATTGATTTTTTTATAGAAAGTTAGCAAAGAAACCATGCTTCGCTTTTATGTTGCTGTGATGCTTTATGATCTATTCAAAAATAAAAGCTTTTATGATGTTGCAAAATTTTGGGATCAACCACGCGGTGGTATTCAAAATCTTTTTTCGCAAGTTGCATCTTTTGCTACCTCAATATTTTATTTTAGTAAAGTCAGTTCTGTATAATTCTATGCGGATTTTCGTGATTTTCTTTTCCTTTTTCTTTTTCGATAGTCTTATGATGAATTTTGGCCTTATCAACAATTATGTAAGCCATTTAAAATATTATAATAATCTCAATTCTAGTTTTCTTAAATTTGAAGTACCAATTTTTATTCAACGTTTAACATTTTGTACATCATTAGAAATTCTTCCCTTAATGGAAATACCAGGAATAAAAAGAGTAAAAAAACTTGTTTTGTTTTATTATTTAATTTATTTAAAGTAGTCACAAGAATTTCTAGGGTCGTGCTTTACAACTAATTCGTGCAGGTTATCATACACTTCGAAGTTTAGCTAAAGCTCAACCGGATGATCTTATGAAAGTCGTACTTAATTTACCACTACGAACAGCACAAATTCTTGTTAAGCATTCAAAAGTAATTGAATTTATTTCATTTATGAATACTTTGAGTTTCTCTTTGTAGCGTCTACTTTGCGAACAAGCTGAAGATTTAAGAGATCAAGCAGCAGCATTAGTCGAAAATATTGAATAAGCAAAAAAATAGTTGTTCTTATTTATTTTTTGAGATTGTATATATTTATAATTGTGATTTTATGATAATTCATTAATTTACTTTTTTATGTGCACTAAAACTCGCTAGATAAACGATGAAAATGAATGTTTATCAATAAAAACGAAACAAGATGAAATTACCTTCGCATCTACACTATCCAATTCAGAGTTGGACTAGCTCAAGTCATAGCTTGAGCTCAAAAAATGAGATAACCTTGATTCAGCTATTTGTGTTGAGTCATTTAAAAGATTAAAGTCTTGACTTTTTATAACTTTTGTCTTACGTTAGTGTATATAATATTTATTGACAATTTTTGTTTGATAATATTTTGATTAGTAAATTTTCCCATCATTCATTTCGTATTATCTGTTTCTCAACAAAGGTTGTATGTGTCTAGATGTGCGATATTTTCCTGTTGCAAAGGCAACCTCTTATTTGCAAAATAAAAAGGAATACTAATCTCTTAATAAACTTCTTGTTAGAAAAATCTGATGCATATCTACTATTGTAAAAGCAAAGAAAAATTTATTTTGTAAATAATTTTCACCAACAAGCTTTTCTAATGACCTTGAAAGGTGAAACTCCCTCAATAATGAAGTATATTGGTCGAAATCTTTCTTGTTTAGTTGATGACACCAGTTTCAAATGATATAATTGTATATATATATATACAATTATATCCCACACTCAATAAAGCCACACAAAGAGCTGGAGTAGCATTACCAACCTCTGATATATGCCTTCTGCTCGCTGTGAAGTAGTTCTTCTATCATTGTTCTTTTCTTATTATTTCATACATCAATAATGAACGAATCCCTTCAGTAACATTTAAATCTTCATCGATAAAAATGCTCGTGTGAATTTGGGCTAGTGATAGATAGAAGCAAGTATTTATTCATCCGATGCGGAGAAGTGTACTAATTGATTTATGCAAAATTATCTTTTCTACTGATTTTAATTGGATCATTTAAATATGAATAAAAAATTGTGTGCAATTAGTATTATAGTGTATTTAGGAGATACCACGTATCAAATGAAATTCAATATATAGATTGGTATAGCCAATGGCTGAGTATAGTTTCAAAGTAAACCTTGATCCCACCGGCAGTTTTTATTTGGTTGCATATGTCAATATGTTCCTAAATCAATACCTACAATAGAATCCTATGCAAAAGAAATAAAGGCTATTTCACTGATTCATCATCAGACATCGATTAGTAGCTGATGGCTAAATAAATATTTTTATTTGTTTCAAACTGTTAAGATTTAAATAATTCTAATCTTTAACAAATCAGAGCAACATTGAGTGAGTTTTGCAATACTCGATCGTGTTGAAAATGGCCGCTAAATTCTTTTGATGAAAATTAATTCAAAAGAAACAATAATTTTTGTACTCTAGATTTTGTACAAAAAATACTTCAAAAGCTCATATTTATGGTTTCATTTCTTCCAACTTACATTGTTAAACTAAGTGATTAGTTTGGTAGCAATAGAAATGACTTTTCTATTTTCTATAGAAAAAAAGGAGAAGGATTCAATGAGAACATGAAGTAATAAAACAAAGCAAAAAATAACTGAATGTTATACACGAATCCATTTCTATCGACGTTGGGAAAGTCGTCTACTTTTAATAGTTTTAGAACTGTCAATCAATAATGAACCTGAATGTATGTTCATCGCATTTCTATCGACGCCAATGTCATTGAGAGTATATGTTGGTACATCGGGATCCTTGTTATCAAAAACAATTGAAAGAATTTCTTGCAGACGTTGTTTTATTCTCTTTTGAAAATTAATATCACCGCTGCTTAAACCAATCGAAAGTGTTGCTGTTAGAAAATGAAACTTTTCATTGTTTTCAATGGCAGTCACTGCCATTTCAACGTGTTTTTCAGTTAGATTTATAGCAAATAGACGATCAAAATTTTCATTGCCTATATCTTTACACAAATCATTGAAGAATTGTTCAGTAGTTTGTATTGCCAATTTAGCTGCTTCAAAGCTAGCATAAGTGAATTTTTATTTTTCAAAAAAATAAAATTCATCAAGTGAAATACTTACTGCAAATGATAGTGAGGAGAATACACCGGTGTCATGGTATCTTTATTGATACCACCAAAAGGTGATTGATGCGCTGTTTTATCCATTACAGAACCATGTGAACACTTTTCTATGTTGGTAGGTTTTAATAATGGTTCTTCTTTTTCATGCAACTGATTTGACATATAACCATTAGTCAATATGTCTTGTTTATTAATTTCATCTCGAATATTATTTTTACAATCATAATATTCCATAGGACAATTTTTGAGAATTAATTTTTGTAAAATACTCTGAACAATGAAGAATATTCTTTCATATTTATCTGTCTGTTTGCTAATTAATATTTATCTTACACATTTTGATTTAATATTTTTACATCCGTCACTAATACATGTTGCTTGATGTATGTCAGCAATTTGACCAATATTTTCTTCCATACCGATACGATGATTTATTTCTGTTTTACTCATTTCAATCCAATTTGAATGAGAATAAAAATCTTGAAGTGTATGAAGTAGATCTCCAATTTTTTCACGTGCTGAATCTAGATCTTTATTCGGATTGGTTGCATCTTCGATAACTAAAACGAACAATCATTCATTATGTTGAATTCATAACAACTACCTTTTTTTCGCAAGTCCATAATTCGACGATTGCTCTCAATAAACGATTCAGTATCAAAATGAGCTGATGGTAAATCTTTTGTCGATGGATTTAGATCAACCAGAGCATCCCTTACTTGAATATGATCAATTATGCTCTTTAATGGATGCGAATAAAGCTTCACTTGGTCACTACTCCAATCGAGATGCACTAATTGGTACAGTTCGTCGATAGTATGTGTACTGTTGAAAATTTCAGCGTTAACTTGATTTCCATGATGAGTGCCGAGAAAAAATCGACCAAGGCTACGAATAAAACCAAGTTGTGTCATGTCAGTGTGAGTTATACCTACAATCGACGTATAAAAAACAATTTCTATTTTTTTCAACGGTTAACTAATAATACTCACTTTCTCCAGCTTGACCACCAAATCGAATTGCTGGATGAGGAATAAAAGCTGCTACAGCATAGAAATGTATGTTTACACAGAGAAGATTGAAGCTATTCATATGTATTTCATATAGGTAAGTCTTCAAACAAATGTATATTATAATGCCATCGAAAATATACTACGACAAATTTCCTTTCGCTCTTTAATACTAAATTCTACCTTATCCGTATATATACAGAGTTTAAACGTATGATTTGGTATGGTAGAATTAAAATGATGTGATTCATGATCGATTATGCGCTTCAATATTTACAATACTTAGCCATTTGATATGAGTAAAAAGAAATAGTCATGTTTCCCTTGCCAAAAATTATAAATACTGACTTGACATATACTCTTGTGAATCGAAGCTGAGTATTTTTAAAGAATGTAAAAAAAAGATTCTAAAAATATAGAATGTTTTTCTTCAAATATCATTTTGTGATTCCTGTTCTTGGATTTTATTTTCGATCTTTATAAATATTACTAACTAGACCACATACTACGACAACACGAAATGACACCGTCGCTGCTAGATTTATCCTGTCATCGCGCTTATTAATACAATTCAGACAGCTTTCCAAGATTTTATTATATTTAGTCAAGAAAATTGTTGACTAAGTCTGTTGACATAAGTAAATCATAACTCCTCAACAGAAGCTTGTAAGAATCTATTGTATCTGTACCGTAGGAAAATATTGTGTATTTCCTATTTTCCATTGGTATTGGTACAACGATGTTTGAAAATCTACCCATCTTTCCTGTTTTCACAAAATTATGCATAAGTACGAGTCAATCATGTATATTTAAGTATTTGTAAATAAAAGTTTAGATGAACTGTTATTTTATTGTAAGGTGGAGCAATAAATACAAGATGGTACTGTAGCAATATATTAGAAATACGACCAATAACTAATGTTTCTTCAGGGGGCTTACATGATAACCTGCGACACAATTTCAAAGTATTGTTGTTTGTGATGCTATTGATGTCTCATAATTCATATGAAAAAAAAATTCTATGGCAAAGAGTAACTATAAAAATCATTAGTATTTCGAGTAAATAAAAGAGAAAACATATGTTTATGATTTGACGAAAAAGAAATTCATTCAACGTAATATCTGTTAATTATTGTATGTCCCATCTAATAGAAGAATATACAATACACGCGAAAAACAAAACACGCATGATGAGAAATTGTTCTACCAAACAGCATGCCGAATTTTTCCAGTATTTTTTTGAGAACCACCCGGTAAAAATGGCACTTGTGGTTGATTTGTAAGAGAATTTCGTCGTTTTGTATTTAGTTTCTCGTCAACTTCGTATTTTTCTTTTTCTTGAAGCCATTTTTCATAAGCCTCTTGTGCACTAACAAATTTTGTTTCTTCATTCTCACGAAGTTTTTTAAATTGATTTTCTCGAGTATGTTTTTTCGTTTCATGTTTTTTTTTCGCTTGATCACTTTTTCTATTCATCCATTTTTCATAAGCTTTTTCAGCCTCTAAAACTTTCTTTTGTTTTTCTACAGTAAATAAATAAAACTATTCAACAAAAAGCATGATCAATTAAATCGAAAGAAACCTTCTTGTTGTTGTTCGATTTCGTTTTTTTTATTACGACTTTCTGTGATTTGCACTGTTAATTTTTCGTCCTTTTTTATTTTCCATTCTTCAAAACCAGCTTTAGCCTCCTAAAATATATTTTCAGATAAATTATATACGTAAAAGAACAGTTTACATTTTTTATCTTTTTCTCTTCTTGTATTTTCTTTTCTTCTTCTTCACGTTTCAATTGTATTTCTTCTTTTTTTCTCTTTATGATTTCCTTTTCTTTCTCTTGACGCCATCGATCCAAGTTTTGTGCATTCAGTTGAACTTGGCGTTCAACTCTTGATTTATCAACAATTTTCGTTTTTTCTTGTTCCCAAAGTTTTATTTGTTCTTTCTCGAGTTTTCGTCTTTCTTCTTTATTTTTTAGCCATTCAAGATAAGCAGCATCCTTTATTGATTGACTTGAGTCGTTTCGAAATTGACTTGTGTTTAATTCATCGAAATTTATGGAACGATTCGTATTGACACGCGGTTGAACATGTTCATAAGCTGAGGACGATCGACGTCGTCGACCGGCACTGCTATTACTACTTGCTGATTGTTTTCGTGAACGAGCACTTTGTGGTCGCGGTAACGTTTTTGATTGAAGTTCTTTTTGAATTGCACGTTCAATAGATCGTGTTAAGTCACTTGTAGCAGTAGGATTTCTTCCGTTGTCAACACGTGATGTAATTTCTCGATAACGCGATGGAATTTTAAAGGCTTGTTTTTTATTAGAACTTCCTGCTGTCGTATGTGAGCTTGGTTTTGGTTTTGGAGGAAGTTTTGCAGAAGAGCGAGGCGGAGGCGATGGAGGTTGAAGTGAAGCAGCAAGTGCTCCATTATTTGATGTTAAAGGATCGCATGTAGGTGGAACATTAGCGTTAGCAACGGTGTCGATACCCGATTGCGTTTGTTGACGTGTTGTATTCGATTTAGCTGATGTTGGTCGTGATTGAGATTTTTGATTTGTTGTTGTCGAAGGAATCACGAAATCCGAAACTTCGAAATGTGATGATCGTTGGTCAGATTCACCGCCTCGTTTGTTTGCTGAACTAGTTTGATTCGATGATGGTTGATGTTGAACAAAATTCAAATCCGTATCCTTAGTGAAAAATAGAGTTATTACAAATATTTTTATTTTTGTTGTATTTAATAATGAATCGAATAAAAATTAATTCTTGAAATAGTTTAAAATTCTTGATTCTTGTCGAAACACGAGAATTTGGCTAATGAATCTAAGTTTCTTTGACACTTATTAGATTTAGGTGAGAGTTTTAACTTTTATTTCGGTAGTTGATAAGGTACATGATTTAATAAAAGAAAAATCGACGTCGGTTCTTTTATGTAGTTAAAATCATGGATGTTTTGTAGAACACACTGAAAAAACTTCCAAATTTGATGAATCCTTATTAATGCTTCATGCCGACTGTACACTGCGACTCAAAACGTGATGTTTTCTACATTATAGAATAGTAGGTACAAAGTTCAATAATTTGTTTTTCAACTACTAACTATTTCACTGGTTACAGGAACTTGAAGAGTAATCTCCATTATATTAACTTCACTGTGAAGTTATCCTGATAATAAAATGAACTATGGAAGATATCAGCTTTAAAAACTCAACACTGGCTCATGAGATATCTTACAATCTAGAGATTTTCAAAAACAAAAGATAAATTCTGAATGTCTAGACACGAATCTTTGTCATGTATTAGTAAGACAATCATTTTCGTAAATAATCCTACTAATAATATTCAAACTCGAACAACACTGTTTTCATGTAATATAGAAATTACCTGTATTGAATCATTATACAATTGTTGTTCTTTTGTAAAGCCTTGTTTTTGTGATGGTTTCATGAAAAATTCCTCATCACTATCACTTTGATCAGTTGACTCTTTACTTCTACTGCTATGTTTTTGTGATTTTACTTGATCGAAACTTGTTGGTGAATGTCGAGAGCTTTTAAACTCGTTACGTTTTGATTTTCTGCTTGAAAGACGACTTTCATCATCACTATCTGTTTGCTTTTTATTTTGATAATCATTTGAAAAGTTTTTTTGATTTTTTCTTGAATCAAATCTATGATCAGCTGAAAATAAATCTGTTGGTGATTGTTGTTTTTTTTCAGTGGCAAAAGTTTGCATAAATGATTGATTTCGCTCTTCTTCCTCGCGGAATGATAATATTTGATGTCGTGGACTTGGTTCTACTTTTGTTTTACCAAATACATTTCGTTCATCATCATCATCATCATCATCGTTAATACCAGTATGACGTGGTTTAATTTGGGGTTTTTCTCCATCTTTTTTAAGAAATGAACGATTTTTTGGTTTCGGTGTTAACTGACTTGTTGTTACGCTTGACGAACTTCGACCAGTTTTAGTATTTGTATCATCATCAGTGTCATTCAAACTATCTTCTTCATCGTTATCATGTATTCGACCTAGATTTATTTTAAAATTTGATACTTCAGTAGATTTCGGCTTTGTTTGTGTCATATGAAGGTTTTTTGTACCAACTGGATCAGATTTTGAAAAACGTTGAGTCTGTAAAAGTGGTGATGGACGATCAAAATCATCGTCATCATCATCATCATCATCCGATAAAGGAGGTTTTCGCATTGCTACCTAATCTTTCACAAAATGTCGAATTAATATGGTTGCCAACTTTTTTTTTATGTATGAGCGGACACCATTCTCGATAAATATGTTTGGTTTATACTTAGTAACATACTTCATCATGGTAATGATTACGGTTATAGTGAACAAAAAATTTACAAAAAGAAAATATTTTTCACAAAGAAAAAAATAACTGTTCACATTAAATGGATATATTTTAGGATAGAACGCGAGTGACTCTCAAAAGATTATAAATGGCCAATCAGATTTTATCGACAGTACAACCAATGAGTCATTCTATTATTTGGATTGGATGGATGGTTTACTTTTTTTGTCGATAGAGAAATATATACCAAAATTGACACGTTTGCAAGATTACTGTAAATCAAAAATTAAATAATTAAATACAAAATTGATTTTATCACAATAGCATACTAGTGGACAAGAAAAATTTAACAGGGCAAGATGAGCATTTCAAAAGGCATGGAAAATTCTTCAGATGTATAAGCATCAAATGTACATATTTCCTATCGAGACCACAAATTAGTTCAACTTAACATTCTACCAACATCATTACTCAATAAATTTTATTACTTCATTTTATAAAAGAAATTGCAATACAAATGAAAATTTCAGTTGGCAAAATTAGAAAAAGTAAATAAATCAATGAAAAATATCAAACATAAATTAGATTTGCTTTTATAAACCTTTTTTAAGAATAAACAAGACAAGATCGTGATCAGAGAATAACGAATTCTTTATTTGGATAGTCAATTAAATGTAAGAATATTTTCTTTGAAAATAACATTTGAATTCGTCAATATCAAGAATAGAAATCATCGAAAGTTTATAATTATCAATTAGATACAAAATAAAATAAAATAAGATTTGTGCAAATGATTACTTTTATTGTTAGACTGTGATGTTTTTAGAATTGTTTCGATTGTATTGATTAAATTAGGTAGACAAGCATTGAAAATTAGAAAGTGACAGTGTAGAAAAGAAATACAAATAACATTTACTTCGCTTAAATCTGCGCAACATCTGTCAATTCATACTTTTCGAATAGGAACCAAATCAGACCTTTTTGTGATATTTTTTCTATTTTAATAATTCAAACTGAAGTTTTATTACTCACAATAGCTTTGTCGTTGTCGATATTCAATCGGAACTATAACTTTAATTAAACGTTTTTTTCATTAAAGAATCCGATTGATAAATTATTTTCAAAGAAAACAGTTGATTTTATACTGTTTCTCAACCGCTTTTATTCGATACATACAATTCATGATAACAATTTCTTATTTATTACGTAAAAATGTCTTTTGATTAAGACTTTCTCGTTTAGATATGCTTCCACCTTCATTTAATTATCCAATATTAATTTATCGATCAAAACAATATTGGCGAATATAATAACTTCTGCTAATTAATAATAGTTCGATGAATGATACTCAAGAAAACATTACAGATAATTCTTTAATTTTTAAAGTATTTCAAATGTCTTTTTTACAAGCAGAAAACTAAAATTTGTTCTCTAGGTTTCAATCTAAAGAAATAATCTACTATTTACTTTTTTCAAATTGATTTTAGATCAATTATAAAATGTTTCCGTTTACTTGATTATCATTAAATCAGTAATGAATCAAAAATGAATCTTAAAATTCGATGGGGTATTATAATTGGTGTTGGTGTACCAACTGCACTTGTTCTAATCGGTGTAATAGTATTATTTACAAAATTTATTATGAATCGTTGTCGAAAAAAAGCTTGGAATGATATAAAAACATTACCAAAACCATCTGATTTATCAGATAATAATACAAATCATCGTAGATTCTTCAAAGCAACATCATCAGAACGTCAACCATTGTATCAATCAGCAACAAACAATGCTATGGAAATATCTGATGGTCAAATATCAATTCCAATCGATGAGAATGACATTCCACCTGAGCAACGTCGATTACACGAGACAAAACAAAACGAGCATACACTTGTACAAATTCAATGTGATCAACTAAATCATATTAAACAAGAAGAAAATCGTCTTAGACCTATGATAGATTTAAGCAATAGTGAAAATCGTATAAAAAGTACTATCGAACAAGTACAAAAAGAATTTGAAGAATCGGTATGATTTATACGATGTTCAATTGAAGAAATTTAATTTTTCTCTTTACATTCTGAGATAGTTTCACACAGAGAAAACATCGATACTTGCTTATGTATCTTTTTTCTTTCGTCAGGTCCTTTGACATTCTCAGTCTTTCGTTCACATAAGCAAATGTATATTCAATTGTATGTGTTTTATTTTCGTTTATTATAGTTAAGTACGGCTGCTACCAAAATGAAACACCGTCAAGATAACTAAGTCTACTTTGTTTAAAATTAATTTTTCTTTTTTCATATTCGAATTATTGATGTTCTTTTCTTATTGGCTTTGCAAATTTAGCTTCTTGCTTATTTTCTTCCATTTTACTGAAATAACATCTGAATTATCTCTTTTCTACCTTCGATGCTTTTTACTCTCCATTTGTTTTGAATGATGTTTGTCTTGTTTCTTATTGTTCGGGTCGAACCAAGAACAAAAAGTAAAATTAAAGTGTCTATGGATCTTTTACATAAAAAGAAATGAATAAAGATAATTATTTTAAACAAGTCTCAAATAGTAAATTTTTGAGCAATTGTTAATATTATGGTTTTATGGAAACATTGGATAAATTGATAACTAGTATTATATAAGTAAATAAATTTAAAAGAAATTCCTAATACAGACGTGCATTCCTGAGTTTAAGATACATTTACTGTTTCTCTATCGAGAATTTTGAAATGATAAAAAAAGACTGAAATGTTGAGAGCATCTACATTCAGATCTTTTGCGTTGCTAGTTTCAAAAGTATCGGTACGGGTTTAACATAAAAATATTTTAATCTCTTTTATAGTAGAGTGCCTAGAGCTTTTGATTGTGTTGGCAATTTCTACAAGTATTGATTTTAGTCGAAGAAATCAATGACTAAACTCATGGTATGCAGATTTTAAAAAGAATCTTGCTCTTGTTTTACTTTATTTCAAGCTGCAGCTCTTGTAATTTTTTATTTTTATTATGAAATCTATGAATATTTTTTACGCAGAGTAATTGTATGGAATCGAACTTATGATATTCCTGACTTTTTTTGGTTAACAGTAGATAAAAAAAACTAAATAAAATAATTGTGCAACAACTGATTCAGATGGAATTAAATTTCTTATACAAGATAATTAAATTCGTCTCATAAATGACAATAAAATCAGAGACAAAGACAAGCATTCATTTAAAAGTCTTAACAAGAGAAGAAAGTCTTTTTTTTTTAGATACTTTGATGAATGGAAGTAGATATAATGTTGAAAAATAAAACTTTAAACAAGAAAATAAAAATAATTCGAACAAGCAAAAAGATAACTGACCTATCTGAAAACTACGAAATTATTCTTTATGAATGATTTCTTAGACGCGTCGACGATCAAGTTTTATACTACAGTTAGTATAAAAGTTCTTATAACACAAACTGCAAGGAAACATTTATCTATTGGCATTATTTGAAGTATAGATATTAGTTATCGATATTAATAATAAAAATTTTCACTGGATCAATAAATTCTAGATCAGTCAAAAAAACTTTGGTTCACAAATAGTGTAAAGATAAAATATTATTACATGAAACAAGCAAGATCGCTTCTATATTCGTTTCTTATTTCCATATAAGGTGCCAAAAATTATTAAAATTCTCTGCCGATGCCTCAGTATAATATTAGATTAAAAGTTAATGTCAAGAACATTGACATTTTCAGATAAGTTATGTATAGATTATAAATGAAGAATATTTGATTCTGACTTTTTATTCTTTTGATATGAAATAAAGTTTTTACTCAACGAAAAACCAAATTTACTGAATCATCAGTTGTGTCTTACGCACGAATATAGACTAATTATTTACTCTGGAAACAGCAACACTAGTCATTTTTTTCTATAGACTTATAGAATAAAAAAGAAAAATTCATTTTTGATTGTTGTTTATTCTGTAGGCGATGATATTTCTTTTGATGATTCTAGAGCTTGAAATATTCAGAACTTTTAGAATGATATTAAAATGATTTTATTTCAATAGTGTAACGAAAAGAAAACAACGGATACGTAAATTTAATATCGTTGATTTATGCTGCTGCATCAATCCAAAAAGGTAATTTTAGCAAAAAAAGAAAACATTCTATTATTTATTTTTGCCTTCACAATTATCTTCAAGTTTTTTTTTCAATGTTATTTTTTCGTGCTTCACTAAATTACTGTAAATCAGTCTGGTAGATTTATTTCTACTATATGTCCTTTAAAGAGAATACAATGTATACCGGTCGGTTATTATTATCTTTTACTTCGAAGATCAAATATAATCTATATCGGTTTTACATACTCTTCTAGAAAATAGAAAAATGACTCAACTCTCGCAAATATACAACGGATAATTTATTGTATTTTAACGAATGCCCGTGATGAGTATGATTTTTACGATTCGGTAGACATACGCATACGCATATGTTGAGCAAATAAGCGGTTCTGTATTCTTTCTTTTCCTCTCCGACTGCCTGTGTCTATGCATAAGTAGTGTCATAGAGAAAAGTTTAACGCTTTAAATGTGCTGTTTATTACACGTCTTCTCTCTTTTTCTATTTGATGCCAAACTTACCGTAGCATTGGTATTCGTTCTTCAATAACACAGGTAAAACTTAATCACGTTTTTTCTTTTTCTGCAAATGAGCAACATAGAAGTGTACGTTGATCAATGTCACCGTATAACAACTAATTTTCGATGTATAATCGTGTCGTTGAATTCTAAAATCAGCACTATTAATCGCAGTTATATTGCGAAAATATTCATAGGTTATTGATTGCAAAGCTAGATTCAATCAATTTTTTGTTGAAATTAGAAAAGAAATGATAAAATTGGATTTAGAAGTTCAGCTACAAGGTCATCTATATATATATATATATATGACCTATTGCTGTATTAGTATCTAGTCCTACGCATTTTATCCTATGGTAAGCAGCATCATTGAGTAATCTAGCTCTATGATTAGTTAAACATGAATCAATTTGATATAATTCAAACTAATTAATATTGAATGTTAACTATGTTATTTAAAAAAAGCCTGTGTTCGTTACAAGTGTTATCAAGTTATTGTATTGATGTAATATGCATTTAATTATGATTCTTTTTTTGGCCATTCATGAATATGTCTACATTTATAATTGTGAAAAAAGTAAGAGAAAAAATAAATGACCTTGCTTATGGAATATTTAGACAAGATTTCCTTTTTCGTTAAATCGTAAAGTTTTCTTTCTGATAATCATCTGTTCAACTTTATTTCGTATGTGAATCATTTCAAGTGAAATCGATGATTGAACTAAACAATAACGATTTCTTGACAAATGTTTTCTATCTTGAAATTACGTTTGGATTTTATTTTATTATCTAGTATTCAATAGAAAATAAATCATTTATTCAATGAAATGTCAATAAACTTTGAGAAGAACCTGGCCATAAAATCATTCACTAGATTCATTGAAATCACATTTTTCTTATTAAATAGATTAAGTTTAATCGATAATAGATTAATCAATATGTCTTTTGTACGTCAATCTTGATTTCAATCACATACAAAAATCATTAGTTAAATTTAAAAAGAACTTTTCTTAATCGCTGTCAGATAAAACAAGAACTCCTAGTTTATCAACACTCTCAGTAAATAAATATATCGACGAATATATAGACATTCGTTTTCATTTGTTGATTCACACGAAACAAGTGCTTTTTTTTATACCCTCAAGAATTTTATTGCTGTTGTAATTAACAACAAAATATGATGTTATAAATCTACAAGCAATTAAGGGCAGTTCAGCTTGTTTTAAATTAATATTAAATGATGAATAATTCTGAAGAAAGCCAGATGTATGTATGCTTCAATGTTAAAAGTTAACATAGGTAATCGTAAGTGATACATTTTTGAAAACAATTTCTCTTTGAGGCTTCCTGTAGAATGTAACATGTGTGGGTGTGCGTGGCCTTTTTTCTTGTGCATTGGCAACTTTTTTTGCTGACTATGATTCATATTTTATGTTCTTTTTCTCTTTTCTTTTGTCTGTCTTTCTACTGCGTCGAGACAACCAAATGACATATGTCTCAATTTTTCGTTATATTTTTTCTCCTTTCTGTTGCATTCTTCATCTTCAATCCATTACACGTAGTCCTCGCTTTATCTATAGCGACAACGATGACGGTGACTAAATAAACTTCAGGCATGTTGCAATTAAAATTTAGAACACGAATGAGCAATAGAAAAGAAGAATTGAACCTTTTCTTCTGTTTGCATGCGTGCGACAATAAGAACGACGAAGGCAAAAGAAAAAAGGTCCATAGTTGTTCTCTTTCCTATACGTTTTGCGGGCAAGTTACACTTCTTTCAGTTGGTCGACTCATTAGTTGGCAAGTAGTAAGCAAACGTAGGAAGCGCGTGTGGCATATATTTTTCGATCTCCATCGACGGTGTACTACCTTTTATGAGACCAAAATGAAAGAGAAAGAATAAAAGAAAGAAAGCAAGAAATGAGTTTCTCTCGGTGTATAGTCAAGTCACTGTCAACGATATATTCACTGAAAGCGACAGAAGAACATAAACAGGTAAATTGTCACATCCATATTTTTCGTCACCACATTTACATTTGATCCTTTTTTTTGTTTCTGCTTCTATTGAAAAATCTTTGAGCCAATCGAAAACTGTGTAGTATAAAACATGCATTCTAATCTTGAAACTACATTAAAAGAAACCGAGTCGAATCATCAAATGAAGATTCTTTTTTCTTTCTTTAGTTTTCATATAATAATAGATTCATATCATTGAAAATTACTAATTCAGATTTCTTTTTCATCGTATAAATTTGTGCTTAAAAAGAAAACGAAATTGAATTCGAAATATATAAAGTTGAGATGAAAGAAAATGCACAACAAGAGAACAAAAAATTATTGAATTAAAAATTTTGATGAAAATGCAACAGACAGAGAAGAAAATGATGTCTTTATGTTATACTTATGTTTTGTACGTGTTCAATTTTTATTTGAATATGTCCGTGAAGCGATAGCAGCAATATGTTTCTATTTTGAATGTCTTTCATACTCAATTTTAGATAATGAAAAAACTAAAAATATTTCTTCATTTTTTTCTAATATCTATTTTATCAATAAATTGTCAACAACTTCAATGGATTTTACTCAGCGATGGTTCAAGTGGAGACACACCAATGCCACGGCGTGATGCTGCACTAGGTTTTGATTCTACATTTCTTATTTTATATGGTGGTCGAGATCAATCTGGAATGCCTCTTCAAGATACTTATGCATTCAATGTTCTTCAAGGTCTGACAAAGTCAAAGAAATCATTTTACATAATCAATAAATAAATAAATAAATAAATAATTTCTTTTAAAAAGGTCTGTGGGAGCCACTTAATTTTCCAAATGCGCCACCCAGTCGTTATGGTATGGCATCTGCTAGTTCAATAGGTGCTGGGCTGTATGTTTTTGGTGGTTTTGGTATGCAAGGTTCTTCACAATTCTATAATCCATACACAGCTTATGGAACATCAGGACTGGCAAGTTATAAACAAAATCCAGCAGGAGCAGATAAACAAACACCAAGAACTGTGAATAAACGAAATACAGGAGCGATAAATAAACAAAGCCAAGGAGTGAACAGTAAACAAAATTTTAATCAAATGAATCCTATGGGATACAATAATTATAATGATAATGATGATCGTGCCGATGAAAATTATTACGCATTATCAGATGCTTGGTTTCTTAATTATGTGTTAGTGATTTTTACTTTTATTATTAGAGATAATAAATATTTTTCGATTTCATATTTTGTTTCTCATTAGAACGAAAAGTTGGCAACAAACACAAACATCTCAATATGGACGTGGTTTTGGTTCGGCAGCTGCTACACCCTATTCAAGTGGTATACCAAGAGTTATCTACAGTATGGGAAAATCGCATGATTGGATGTATTCAACTGTTGAAACAACTGGTCAAGTTACATCGGGTTTTAATCAAGCTGGTTCCGGCCCAACTGCAATAAGTAAAATTTTCATAGAAATATTCTTGACCTAAAATTCATAAATATATTTCGTTTGTTTGTTTAGTTATGTATGATCTATCTTCATACAATCCGTCTTATCCACATGCACGTTATGGTCATTCAACAACATTACTCACAGATAATCACCTTTTACTTTATGGTGGTTGCCTCAGGTAAAAATAAAATAAAATTAGTCACCGGTTTGACTCATTCAAAGGTAGACTCATCACATGTTTTTTCTTCTTCTATGATCCATTACCCCTCATTCATGACAAGAGTTTTATTTAGAAGTGCGTGTTATTTATTTTATTTTATTTTTCTCTCTCTCTCCCTCTAGTGGTTATGGAAAAGGTGGTCCATGCCCATCAAAAGATACGTGGTTATTACATGTTGATCGTGGGCATTGGGAACGTCTTTGGGAATGTCCACCAACAAAAACAGGAGCTGCTATGGTTACACTTCCATCATACAGTACATGTGCTTCAATTGGTCAAGGAGTAATGGGTGGCTGGCCAGGGATGAGTATGGGAAATGAACCTCCAGTAGCAGTCTTATGGGGTGGCCGAGAATTTAATCCATCGTCGATTCGCGTAAACATCGATTTTAATACCATAGAAAATATCATTGAATTATTGAATTTTGTTTTTCAGAGTTATCTAAGTCCACCTGATGAAGTCGCAGTATTTAGTTTGACTCAAAAAGAATGGCTTTTGAAAAGTGCGCGTCCATCTACAACAGTAGGTCGAGCTTATTTTCTGAAAAATTTCTTCTTCCCATAGAATTCTACCGTTTCTACTTCGTTTTGTTGTATGAAAACTATGGGTCTTTGCATTTCTATGCGAACTTATATACGTAAGTATTGACTAAGATTGTATCATATCTTTATAGGATAATAGTTTTCCAATGCAACGAGAAGGTGCTGCTGTTGTTGCTGGATGTTTTCAAGGCTCACCGGGTATGTTTGTCTATGGTGGGCGCAGTGTTACGTAAGTATTTATTAATCAGATTTTTTACAATCGATGAGTTTGCCTCAGGCATATTATACAATTCATGTTCAAATCAAATTATGTTTTCTTATGCCAATCTGTTTTTGTATGGCAAAACTGTCAATTCAGATGATTTAATATTTTTATACCTATTTTGGTTTTATCTTTTTTCAGTATGCTTTATTACATCGCATAGCAATTATCTTTATTAAATTAATCTTTAGTGCAAGCAGTTCGAGTCTAGTCACTGCTTTTGACAATCATGACTTTGACTAAGATTCTGTATCTATATAGATCAATAAGAGTTAGAAATTTCATGTTGAAGGATTAAAAAAATTTAAATAGAAGAAACGCTGTTAAACCGAAGATTTTCAAACGTCTATATCAACTTCGGTCGTTTTCTATTCTTCGAGTGCTGACTTGATAGTCTATGCGAATCAAAAATGTATAAAAACTCCTTGGATTACTACTTTAAAGTGGACAGAAGAATCGAAGTTGGAATATCATTTCCGTCACTTGAAGGATTGGTTCAAATAAAGATTTTTATTTCATGAAGATGAACATGAGTTTTTGTTTTTAGTCTTTCACCTTCGAGTCAAAAAAATTTATGGAATATCAAAAATAAATCGAGAAGAAAATTTACAAATGAACACTTTGATGATTGCGATTATTACATTAGTATTTAATATAAATTGTTTACAAAGAAAACTTTCTAGGAGACGCAGTTACTATCGCATATTTCTGATAGTAGGAAGAATCTTTATCAACCTTGAACTGTTACATAATGAATTTTGTGTGATGAATATGATATTGGATCATTAGTTGATCTATGTGATACCATATACAATCTATGTTTAGAAAATGTTTCAAAGTTTTAAAACATAGGAATGTCTTCTGGTTGTATCTTCGTCTTCATCGATGTATATGAGATTCATAAGATAAAACAATTATTCTTCTAGATTAACTTCTACTGAACCACTAGAAAGTATCCTTTAGAATATGTTTCATTTATTTGACTAGTCAAGATTGCGATTGGTTACCATTGTTTTACATATATCCGAACCGTTCTTAGCGGTACACACTAAAATCCTTTTTATTTTCGTTAGTTGTTTTTCGAATTAATTCCTGTATACATTTTATTTATAGTAATGATCGTCGTTTACTTTCGGATCTCTGGTTTTTAAAAGCGTCGGCACAAGATGCATTGAGTTCACCTCGTAGACGTGGGTGTATTTATCCATTTTCATATTATCATCTTCATGGAATATTTCAATTTTTTACTTACGGTGTAATCTTTCCCATTGGTTATATAGTTGGTCGACATGTTAAAACCTTACCGATTAAACGGCCATTGCATATGAGTTTACAGGTAAATAGATTCATTTTTTAGGGAACATGTTCAGTAATATCGTTTTTAGCTTTTTGGCGTTGCATTAGCTATTTGTGGTTTTGCTTTTGGTGTACATTCGGTTCGTGCTCCATCATGGCTCCATTTTAAACATGCACATGCCATTATTGGTATCATCACATTTATTTTAACGATTCTTCAATTTTTAGCTGGATTGTATGTTAGATTTTCTATTCTGTTTTATTTAGTTTTTCATTTCTATTTATTTATTTGCAAGAGTTGGTTTTATATTTCTCAACAAGGAAAACCAGAAAAATCCAAACCACAATAATTCAGACCATAAATTTTCTTCCACACAAAATAACGATGATAAATGGGGCGGTGAAGGCGTATGGCGTATCGGTCATCGCATTCTCGGTTTATTAATATTAGCACTTGGTTTAGTTAATATATCATTAGGTGTTTTTCTTGCTGTATTACCACTACCAGTTTGGATTATATGGTATATTTATTTTGGTTTCCTTGTTCTGTTACTTATCGGCATGGAAATCGTTGCTTTACTAAGTCGTAATGGTAGTCGAAAATCAAAATCAACTACACGTCCAGGTAAGCACAAGAACAGTCTATCAGACCTAATACAGAAAGAGTATCCAAATATGTCATTGATGATAATATTGAGTTATTTCATAAACATATATTATCTCAATACATAGAAGATAGAAATAAGATGTGCTACTTTAACTAAGGAATACAAAATGAATTAAAAATCAGCTATTTATGTTACCTTCAATGTAGAAAAACGTGAGGATCCAAAAGGTACATCACAGTCATCATTAACATATACGAATGAGCCAACTAAACATCATCATACAACAGAAATTCATCAACCACGCTATGGTATTAATCGTGGTCCACCACCTGAACCAGCGCGTCGTGGTGCTGGAACGAATGGCGATGACAAGGCACCCCTTATACCTAATCAAAGGCAACACAGACCTGGTGATGTTAATTCATCGGCTAGCCTTCCTCAATATAATCGACCGAATGAACGAGAATATCCAGCACGAAAAAGGAGTGAACCATCAGAAAGTGGTGGTTTTGATTATTATGTTGGTTATCCACCTGAACAGGAACAGTCTTTACCGTATGTGAAATATTTCATCATGTTTACTATTGCTATATATTCATGCTTAAAATTAACATTTTGTTATCTCTATCGCGCTTTTACTTCCTGCATGCTTTGAACATTTTTCTTTTTTTTATGAATTCGATTATTTATTCTTATTTTATTATTTTAGACGATCGACAATACAGCAGCAAAGCGAGCACAATCTCACTCGAATTAGGCTTCAATAAACATTTATCCGCATCCAACTCTCAACAAATGATTAATGGCCAATATTCATCGTCCACAATTCGTTCTGACAGATTTCCATTATACAGACGAAATTAAAATATAGAGGGAAATATGCACTCGTATATATGTTGGTGTGTGCGTCAGTGAATGAGTTTTATTGATTCTCACTGGAAGATCTAGATATATGCTATCGATTGTTTTCTTCTGTTGTTTTTCTTAGTTTATATTCATTATCTATTGGCGAATAACGCCATTTTTTCATGGCTTTTTGCTGAACTATTTTGAACCGCTTTTTGTTCCTTTTTTTCAACAGACGTTGTTCTTTATTGTCTTTTCTTTTTTTCTCAAGAACTTCTTGTATAGTTTATTCTTTTCGTTTCTTCATGTCTATGTGTATGTATTTGCTCTCGTCAATATATTCATAATTTTTATATATAAAATGGCAAGTTTGTTTTTCTTTCATTTTTTCTTAATGAAATTTACATGGATACTTGAAAAATCGATTTTTTTAATGTGAGTAAATGATTTATAGCCTATGAATGAAATTACTCTCAGTTACTGTTTTGCCTAAAGCCAACATTGTGTTCTTTGCTTTTACAATGAAGAACAAAAGCTCAATCAAACATTTGTACTTGATTACTTTTATTTTCTATTTGTGTTGATTACGATTGAAGATGACGATTGCACCCGTATATGTTGTCTTTGATACTGACTGTAGATTTCGCTTCAACAGTAAATTGTTCATCGTCTGGCCATTGTATATTTATGTTAATAAGTGATATGATCAATAAGATAGAATTAGTCAATTGAGAGAGGCATAAATATGTTAATGAGAAAAATTCAAAAAGTTGAACAAGATCTTTCTATATGTATAGAAATATTTTGTAGTGCCGCTCTCGTGTGAATATTTTTGAGAATGACATGAATAATATCTGTTGTATTTTGTTTTTCATTAACTGAAAGTTTTATCTAGACATCTAACTTCCTCACATTGACCCACTGTATTCTTAGTTTAGACACAATATAGACCCGTCAAATGTTTCTAGTTATAAGAAATACGCATTCAATTTCTTATACATCATTCAGCTTATCATACTGTATTGATTTAATTCATATTGGTGGTAACTGTTAAATGTATCAGATCACATTATTTTTTATGTAGCCTATTATTAACCGAAACCGTAATTGTTGTTTGTAATTAGTCGTTCAAAAATTCATAATCATCAAATTAACTGTACGATTTAAACTTCAATGATATCTTCGGTAGATCACTCGATTTCACATTCACTATACCGATGGTAGTTTGATACTCTAGCACGAGGACATAGTTCGATCATCGTTTAATAATCTTATACTAATAGAAATTCTCTAATCAGCAATCTGTTACGGACATATCGTGGGCTGTTTTGCGCACCATAGTATTGATTCTGAAATAGTGACACTGAGTTTTTCGGGTCTCTTCTAAAAGTTCGTTATACATCATACTTCCAAATGGAAATAATTAAGTTGAATATGACAGAAACAATGATGTTTAGAGGGAATCATTGTCTTATGGTGCAAACTAGCTTCTATGAAGTATAGTTTTTCTTTATTGCGATTCAAATGGTAATATATGTGTGTGGATGGGCACTCGAATTTTAGGGAGGCTATGTGCGATTAGCAAGACTCTTGTAGGAGTAATGATTCACTGAATAGGTTTAATGAGTTAAAAAAGTTATTAATCGGAGCTTTCAGTATTCATGTTAAACTATTCTCAAGGTTGCTCAATACCAATAACTCTTGTACGCTTTCAACATAAAAAAAACAACGAAAAACTCTGGCTTTAACCATAATATTCGAGCATTATTCGATTTTAATCGTGTCATAAATAAAAGATGTTGTTCTTTAATTTTTAGTATAGAAACTCCTAGGTATTTATTCATATTGTTCTGATGAGCGAACCTTTCTTGGGAGATTAAAACAAATTTTAACGAAAAAACTGCATAATACGATTTGACATTATTTGCTATATACTTATGAAAATAAAGAATACTCGTAGATTCAAATCAAATCGATTATTTTTTCATACCGATTGAAATTTTATTTTATTTTGGATGGTCCAATTGCTAGTTTACAATTTTTTTTTGTATAGATGAGAAGTTGCATTCAATGGAACAAGGATTTTGCTACCATTTATTGTCTGAATTAACTTTGCTTGATAAATTGTTTTCAATGGAGGATTATAAGGAAAGCAAAGTCAACATCTTAGCCAAATAGCACAAAAAATAAGTCTGCTTACCTTGGTAGTGGTACCGAACTGAGTAGTCGATTTTTGATGGTCAGAAAGAGTTATCTAACCAATAATCGTCACTTCTAATTTGAATATCAGCAACATTGTTGATTTATTCCTCTGTAATTTCGATTCGTAAGTCGAATATGAATAATCGTTGTAATTTTTTAAATACAACATGACACATGTTTGCAATATAATACATGCAAATTGTTTCTCCCGGTCGATGTTATTCACATCTTATGTTCGAGGCTACTTCTTGTATGCTTTCTTTTTTGCTCATGTCAGTTAGCGTGTGATTCGATTTCATGATAACAGCGCTTTAGTGATCTTTCTACCTGGACAAATAAGTGAATGAATAACTCGTATTTTTGAGTATCCAACAGAAAATATGATTCTTTTGTAATTGCTTTCTCGCTTCAAAACTTTTTAAATGTATATTTATTTAAGTGAATCAGTGCTCCATGTACATATTATATATATATATATATATACCTAAAAAGTAAAATATTCTCATTTATTCTCGTATTATAGGTATTAAAGTATGAAACTCCAACTATGCTATGCATTTGCTTTCGTCTTGTGTCTATTCGTCATTGAAATCTCAGCTAAGAAACGATACTGTGAGTCCTTATACAAATTTCATATTTGAAGCTTTTCTCATTTAAAATTCAGCTGACCCTGATGATAATGATGATAGTGACGATGACGATGAATACAACCAACTCAAACGTTTTCTATTTCATAAACAAACTACGAATAAACCATCAAGCTCACCAAGTGTTCTTGATAATCTAGTGCGCCCATCAAGTTTTTCACCATCACTTTGGACAGTAAAAACTACGAATTCACCTTGGTATCCGTCATCAGGAGTTTGTTCATCCAATCCTTGTGAACATGGTGGTATATGTAATGCAAAAGGGCAGAATACATTTGATTGTAAGTGTATTGGTCCATGGCGAGGCATCTATTGTGGCATCGGTATGTAAAACAAATTAATTATTTTCAAGATAAATTTAATGCTAACAATTTTCTTAGCTGATGCATGCTATCGTTCACCATGTCAAAACGGAGGTTCATGTCTTAATATATATGATGATTATTGGTGCAAATGTTCTGATGATTATTACGGTAAATAATATATATTCAATTATTATCAGTTCTTCATTTTATTCATTTTTTATGATTTTTTGTAGGGAAAAATTGTGAATCAAGTAAGTTGATATTGTACTTTGATCGGCGAATTTCATTTTTGATTCCTTAGAATTCTATAATCCTGGAGAATCGACGAATAATTGTCGACCCAATATTTGTAATACCGGTCGATGTGTTTCTTTAAAAACAACTTATTATTGTTCGTGTCCTGAAGATCGTTATGGTGAACACTGTGAAAAAAAATTCAGTAAATAAATTTCAAAAAATACTTCGATAATTTATAGATTCTTCATAGGTTTTATTAAGCGAAATTCTGTCGATAAACGATCATTCTATCAATTATTAAATCAAATTGAGAGAGATGTGGCTGATCCGAATCTTGACAATTTCAATGATATTGACGCTGAAAAATAGACTTCAATTTTTAATTTGCTTTTGTCAAAACCAAAATATATTTCTAAATTTCTGAAATAAATAAAAGATGAGAATGTCGTAGTTAGTAACATATCCGTAACAAATTAAAGCTCCGTTATTGATTATAATCGTATGATTGCTCATGAAATGCAAACGATATAGATGATATTATATTCAGTGTATTTTTATTAATACAAAGTTTCAACTAGCTTAAGATTCATTAATACATCATCGTTAGATTATTATTGGATTCGATTTAAATGGCTGATTATGATAAGATAGAATCTGAATTACTCTATGTGTAGTGTATAATAAAAACAACTAATGATGCTTTTGAAAATTCGCTTGACAAAAAATTCTCTTGACTGAATCGCATAATTCAGTTGAACATCACCAATATTTATTATGCTTTATGTCTATCTGTCAAAGTGCAATTTGTAAGGCACTGTGGAATTTTTAGTAACCAACATATATATATATATATATTGCTTTTGTTTATGAATCTATAATGTAATGTTCTTTTTTTCAATTACTCTACAAGCATCGTTGATATGACATATACGTATGTACCCTAGTACGATAGCACATGGTATTATTTCAATAATAAAATTACATATATCAAATCATAGGCTTCAGTATACAGACAAAACCTTACTAACGGAATATGATACTGTACTATAAACAGAGTGAGCTGTTATGTAATAGAAATCTGTGCTGGAAGAATTTCTTTGCGAATAATCAAAACAAAGGATGAAAAACGAAAATTGAATCGAGCTTATTACTTTAGAATATTTAAGATATAAAAGAAAAACGATTGATAGTCCTGAGCTACTTTTAATCCTTTGACTCTATTTTGTTTGATAAACACGGCTTAGAAACTTGAATGTGGAAAACCTATTTGAAACACATTTTTTAATGTCTGTTTCCCCCCATGAATAATATTATCAAAGTCTCGAGTATTTTTTTATTTTCTACTATAATAATCTATTTCACCCATTGCTCCCAAACAGCTTCGATATCGATGTAGATTTCCATAACAAAAGTAAGCTCTCGTAGAACAATTTCTGTTCGAACAGGACAAAAAGAATGTTTTATAAATTTTTATTTACCTTCATGGTCATAGTACACATATTTACGTGTGTGATGTGCGCATCACGTAGCATCATCGTGTTACAAAACGATTACTGTATAAATACTCGTTAACTACTGTGTATTTATCATTCTAACTTAAATATCATGGTCGCAACATGCCTCTTCAAGAAAACGTCGATTCTCTTGTTCTCGATAGTGAAACAATTACCTGATCAATATCGAACTATATCAAACAGAGAAATAGATAAGAAGGAACTGGCATTATTTTCTGGAAACAAAACATTATTAAATAAAGAACAACAGATGCTTATCAATAGATCATTTAGAACAGGCAAAAGATGGTCGTTAATATATAAAGCAACTGAACATGGTTTCAGTTCAGGTGATTTTCATCGCCTTTGTGATAATCATGGTGCTACCCTTACTTTAATTGAAACACGTCGTCGATTACATAGGAGAAAACATAATTCAATTTTTCGTGGTTATATAACAATACTTTGGTCTTCTCAGCATCGTTTTCATCATGATCCTCAAACCTTTTTATTTCTGTTAAGTCAAGATTATATTATTCGTTGTTATCTACGATCAAACGATCAAATCGCTGTTTCACATTATTCTACAACAGGACCCGGTTTTAGTTTAAATGATATCTATATTTGTGATCAATCCAATCAATGTAATCTGAGTCATTCAGAATTTCCATATTCTTATGAGAATCTCGAGGAAAATGGAAAAGGACGAAAAACATTTTCAAAATCGAATCATTTCTGCGTCCATGAAATTGAATTATACGCGGCAATTGCTTGAAATAAAGATAATTACTCATGAAAATATACAAATAAAAAGCTTTGGCATTTGTTTTTGTTTTTAGTATTTGTATATTCATACGTATAGGTGAATTTTAAAACAAAAATTACTATCCAAATAATATCGTGCATAGTTTTTCTATTGTTTATTATTTTAACAAATATTTCGCAAAACAATATGTGATATTATATTAGAGTGTCTACACATTCAAGATCTAAAAAACACTTCAGTGCACGTCATTCTTGAGATTTAGTGTAATATAGATGTAGTAATAATCTTCAATTCTTGTAATATCGTTGATTCAATACTTGAGCTGCTGTAGATTCAGCAAGTCATTTTATATTTTATTTCTGAAATTGTTTCTGTTATAAATGCCCTGCAAAGAAAGTTGATCTGATGTTGAGTTTACTGACTTTCTATAGGCACTTATTACTAACTATTTACTGGCTAAAAGTGTATAATTATGTATGTAATGATGTATTCAATATATTAGTTGATAAATAATTCGGAATAAATAGCCACCAATAACCTACCTAGGGTAATTTCTTGATTGAATATATCAAGATTTAAACATAACACCTTGTAGACATATCTTAATTAACATAGTCACGCATTTTTAACCAACTTGTAAAGTCGAAAAAAGACAAAAGCATTAGACTTGGGCTTTTGAATATCTCCATTCTAGAACGAGTTCTACATGAGGTTCTTGAAGAAAATACAAAGAAAAATGGTGTAAATAGATTATATTTAAAAAAAACAGGTATCGAAAAAATATATGCACGCATGAGGTGAAGGACAATGTATAACGACAACAAACGCACGAGATAGTCTAACCGATGGTCATAATGTCTTTATGTGAGTTTTCAATCAAATACTGCAATAAATAACTCAAAATACTTTTTTCCTTCTTTTAATTCTGTTCTAACATAATGTTGACAATTGTGTCTCTCAAAACAGATAGTATATTTGCTAAAGTATTAGTTGATGTCTAGTCTGCTCATTTTTTTGCAAAGAAGAAAGCGATTCAGTATCTAAAAGGTTTCATTTGTGTGTTTAAGTAAAAGAATATGAAGATTATCATTTAATCAGAAACTAAACAAGAAACTAGCTAATTTTAATGTATCTAAGTAGACATATTTTTATATTTTATTCTAGTGCTATGCACAACTCAACGAAACATAAATATTTTTCATGTAAAGCAAATAAAAGACATAACCAAATATTAGAATACCTTTTTCAAACAAAGGTAAACAACGTATTCTAAAGTAATCATATATTTACGCGTGTATTTATTCTTTTCTCTATTTTTGCTCTCTCGATATTATGAAAAGAAAAGTATGTGTGCTTATTTACAACCTTTCGTCACACTATACCACAAGAAACAACAACGAAATGAAAGATAAAGTTGCTTTCACGATGAAACTTAAGCCGAATAGAATTGATGAATATAAGCGACGTCATGATGAAATCTGGCCTGAACTTGTAGGATTACTTCATGAAAATGGTATATCAGACTATTCGATTTTTCTTGATGAACCATCATTGACTTTATTTGCTGTCCAGAAAGTTTCTCCAACTACAATTTCATCAAATGATAAATTACACGAAAATGAAATAATGCAACGTTGGTGGGTACACATGGCTGATCTTATGGAAACAAATGAAGATCAATCACCAGTTACTCATGCACTGAGACTCGTTTTTCATATGGATTAGTTCTGCTAGTTTTTAATAATATAAAGTATAATACTATATATAAATAAAGGATGTCGCTAGATTCCACCTATATTTTGACCTCATGATTGGCTTTTGTGGTGCACGAATGACAAGATAACACTTTGTTTGGTCCCTTTATTTCATATTTCCACAGTTCGCTCATCATCTGTCTATAATATACTATTTTATTTCGTTCAGAGTATAATAGCCAAAGCTATCATATAGTAAAACGCGTTAATTTTCTTTAAAAAAAACACATAAAATCAGATCTATCAACAACATGCATAAAGTCGTCTTACTTTTTATATTGTAGACTGATATTCTTTTTTTTTGTGAAAAAAAAAGAAAACAATGGGTCGACGTATTAGCGACGATAAAGATGACAAATCTGAAAAACAAGCTCCGAACGAATCTGAGTCTGATTCGAATCTCGACGAAGAAGAATTTGTTGTAGAAAAAATTCTTAAAATGCGAACGACAAAAAAAGGAAAAGTTCAATGTAAGTCGATTGTTGTTACCGAAACCAAACATTCAATTGACAGAAATCTTTCTTTCTCTTTTCTAAAGATTTGCTTAAATGGAAAGGCTTTCCTGATACTGAAAATACATGGGTAAAATCAGAAACAAAACTATCAGTTATTTTTTTAAAACCCTTGTTCTTTCTAGGAACCCGCTGAAAATCTCGAATGTCCTGATTTAATTGCTGCTTTCATGGCTGAACAAAAAGAAAAACAACAAACATCATCATCATCATCAAATGGTAAACGATCTCATTCAACTAGTAGCGCCAATGAATCTAATAAGGGTACTTGTCCAACGAAGCGACCGCGTATTGAATTAGAACAAACAGGTTATCATCGTGGTTTAGTACCAGAACTGTTAATGGGTGCAACAGATATTTATGATGGAGAATTAATGTTTTTGTGAGTATGATATGTTAGATTACTGTTTTTAAATGTTATAATTTATTTAAGAGTTAAATGGAAAGGTGTTGCTAAACCAGAACTAGTTCCATCACGGATCGTGAATAAACAATCAGCCCAACTTGTTATTAAATTTTATGAAGATCGATTAACATGGAATTCGACGAGTTCATCAAATAAAAATGTTTAAAAATAATAACATGAATTTGTTTTCTGTTTGTTTATAGAAACTCTGTTTTTTCTCAGTGTTCATTCACAAATGCTTTTTGTTTTGTTTCGTTTTCTTCATGTTATCATTTGTCTGTGTATTGTGATCGGATTTTGTTGTATATTTTTGAAAAATAGGATTACTCACAAAAGCATTTCAATAGAAAGTATTAGTGTTCGTTTGTTCTCGAACATGTCGTATTTTTTCTGTATGATATGAGATAGGCTACAAAATAAAAGCGATTTGATCAATCAGAATTTGTTTGAATTGCCAAGCAGATTTGTCAATGAGAATTCATCAAGAAAAGTGAATCCGTGATGTGAGTTCCTTCACTATGTGAAAGTCAAATCATTCTATGTAGGGTAAATTAATGCAACATTGGATGATCTTTGCTACTTTTTTTATCGTCTTAAAATAAATATTTTTACTTAAGTGTTGCCTGGAATGGAAGAACTAAAAGCAAAACTGAAGATTATTAAGGGCATTTTACTCTGGAAAATATTTTAATTAAAAAAATACAGTGTAATAATGAGTCAATTATGAATAAGAGCATGGGCATATGTATACATCTTGACTAAACTGTAAGATTTTTTGCACCTGTACACCCACGCGGTCATATCTAGTATAGGTTTTGCTTTTATTCCAGCTGAACAAGCATTCGCTGAAAGTACGAGTCCACTCAAATGGTGATTCATATGATTGTAGTTTTTCTATAAACTATTGGGACCAACTTAGAGGATAGATTTCTTAGACGCTGAGTTTCAATTTAATAAAAGTACTGTTTCTGTTTTTTTTACTAACTAATGGTCTTTTACGAGGTTCGAAATATCTTCGAATAATTTCAATCATTCTTTATTTATCTAAAAAAACAGCATGTCTAAATAGGCAAAATAGCAATGTATGACGCTTGACAAACTTCGTCAATCGATGTATACGACTTTCTTTTCGAATTTCTTGCCTTTGACACAATTAATATTTAAAAATGATGTAGATAGAATCAATTTTTCATTCTATATTCGAATACGTTTTTTGAAGATGAAAAAAACATTTTTGTGACGTAAAATTGCTGATTGATAGTAGACGGGTTGTATTTTCCAGGTCTTGTTTCGGATGCCGTATGTCATGTTATATATTTAGGTATAATATTCAATGTTTCACTAGGTGGTTATGCGATAAAAATTTTAAAAAACAAGTACATAGAATGGTGTTCATTACCAAGGGCCATAATGTTGTACATTTCGTCTACCCACTTCTTAGAAGATATTCATGCAATATGCAGCCATGTCTTTGTTTTACTATTAACATAATTCAATATGAAGGAAAATAGTTTGATTGATTCATCGAAGATCGAACACGAATATAAGTCTAAAAAGCCTCGATAGTAAATAAAGACCCATAGATACCCAGGCGTGAATCCATAATTAGTTTATTATCGTTAAGATTGTACTTTAAACAGATTTTTCAGAGACCAATACTATCATCGATTATTCGTTCATTTAAACTACTCTGTTCCAATCCAACAATCTTTGACAATTCACTAGAGAGCTTCGTTGTACAAATTCGGAAAATAAAGTAAACTGAAAACGATAATAAATGGCAAAGCTATACAGAAAATAGGAGAAAAGTCATCTATCATATGTGCTGGTTCTACTTATATTGAGTTATTTTTGGAATCAACTAATAAGTTGACATTGTCAAAGATAATAGAGCTAATTTTTGGTTGCGATGTAGCACACCATATTAGTTCAGAGATAAAATTTAAGATTTTTGATGTTTTGATCTATTTTACTATGATTTATCATGTATCGTTTCTTATTATATATTTCATTCCTGTGTCCGCTTATATCTACATAGGAACTCCAAAAGTCGTATGTATTAATGATTATATCAATCCACACTTTTACCTATTCAAACCTTAATTACTTTTTCGGTTGACTCCTAGTGATATATCATCGGCTGGATGACTAGTGCTCGGAAATTTTAGTCGATGCGCTCAATAAGCATATCTTAGGATCCATTAACGCTTATGTCAAAAGAGAATAGTATATTGTCAGAATGTAGCTTTATACGATTCTGTAAGATTTTTACTCTCTAATTTTCTATCCTGGTACTATGTCTAATATATGCATTGACTAATGTATTTATTCTCAACATAGATTACTGCAGACTTGCGCAAGATTGAAATATCATATCTAGTACATTAGACAGTAGTGCATAGCAATAAATAAATATCTTTTTTTTGTAATATTTTGTTTTTTTTCTCGTTACTATCTCTTTAAAATTCCGAAAAACCCTAATCACAAACATAATCATATAATTACAATGAGACAAAAGAGATACACAAACACACATACGATAAATAAAGATAAAAATCGTTGACAAAAACAAAAACGAAAATAGTTTGTAACATGTACAGATAAGAAAAACAATTTTGTTTACATGCTCTCGTTCTCATGGCGTTTTCGATACGAATGGCAAAAACAGATTTATTTGCATAGTAATACTAAAATGAAAATATTATACAGTTCGTTGTTTTTTTCTTGGTGGACAAATAATATTATTTTGTAACGAAGCCATCGCTCTATATGCATCGGCTAATAGATGCGGATGTGTACGAATCATTAATTGAAAACCAATAGTTTCTAAAACATCTAAAGGAAAAAAAAAGAAATTAAATTTTTGTTTCTTCTTAGTTTCTTTCTTTCATACCTTGTAGATGTGTATTTATGAAATCAATAGATTGCTGTCGAAGTTGTGCTGCAGAATGCAGATCAGCAAGTATAAGTATATCGGCTACATTATCTTTATCAATTGTTGTACATAATGTTTCTTCACATTGAACTTTAAGTCTTTCCAAACAATATTTATCAGCAGCTGGTAAAAGTGCATCCGCTAATTTATCGATATTTTGTATTTTACCCGTATATATAAAACGAAGAATTTCAAAAATTATATCACCATCAATATCTTCGATTTCTACACGTGCACGTTCATTTTCTAGCATTTTATGTTCGAACATAGCTTGAAATACTTTTGATCGTGCACTGAGAATTGCTTTGTGTACGGGAAATTCTTTATGGCCACAAACAAGTGTAACATCAGAATAAACAGGATTATCAAGTAATAATTGAAAATCATCGCCCAACCGGCATTCAGGAATTTTGAACTAAAAATAAATAATTTGCTTTTTTGTTATCATTTCAAGTTTTAGAACAATTTTATATATGTAGCTTAACGGGATTGGTTTTTATAGGCCTACTGGACGAACATTACTTCTACAAAGTAAATCAAGATCAAAAGACATGTTTTATTTTTAAAAATGCAATATTTTGAAGAAAACATATTCGAATTTTCTATCAAATTTTCAAGGCTATTACAGCTATTCCTTTAGACAAAAATCAATTCTTCCTTGCTGTGACAGATTATTCCATAACATATTTTAAAAACTGAACTCGTATAAATTATACTATAGAGAATAATCTGTGGCAACAGTCATACATGATTTTTAAATGTTTTACCATTATCTTTCTTATATATGTGACATAATCTAATATTTTCGAAATAACATGAAATCTATATATAGAATCATGTTATCTTAGCGAGATTATCATTTTCATAGATCACTAATGTGACCCCAGTACTTTTTAATATCATTTTACAATTGTGCAATATGATTGTATTTAGCCTCTCATCTTTTCCCTATAAGATTTGTTTCACGACACAAAATTTCACGAATATTTTTACAATATAATTCTCTGATTCTTTTCAACTGATAAACTATACATAATACTATTTAAAACTACATGCATTCTTAATTTAGAATCTTGATCGTCGTCAGAGAATACAATGTATAAATGCCTCTCTGACGAAAAATTCTTAGCAAGTGCCTACTAAAATAACTTATATGACAACGTACATAACTTTTGAATGAAGTCTATTCAGGACGTGAGACTTCTAAGGTATAGATTCTGTTTCATACCGTAGAAATCTATTTTGTATGGAAACTACTCGTAACGCTTGAAAACAGGTACGAATATTAAAAATTCTATAGCTTGATTGTTTGCCAACAGAATCTAATTTTTTTTAGAAAAATTTGTATTCGAAAACAATGTAACATCAATATAATAAAAGGACAACTACAGTTGTTTGCTTCGTATTATCAAAATAAGTTCCGAGCTCAACATTAGTTTCACAGTTGTTGAATCGCATTTTATCTACTTCAATTAATTGGGGAAAATCATAAACATCATAGATAATTCTAACAGATTTCATTAATTATTAAAACTATTAATCTGAAAAAAAAACTAAAGTTAGTCGCTGCTGATTGTAGATACAGTAATCTCCTAAAGTATCACAAAGCTTGGTTTTTGTTCAATATCAGAACTTGAAAATGTTAGGATAGGATTGAAAAGTAATATAAGAATCAATATTTTTCAATCGAAAAGAGACAAATAACAAAAACCATAATAACTAATACGAACTTTCAACGATAGATCGATCACACGAGAAAACGATCATCTACATATATCAACCTATATGGAAAATAATTCTAGTCCTGGGATATACTTGTTATGTACCTCAAAAAATGATATTTAGTGCCGGTAAAACGAAGTAATCGATCTGAATATTTCTCACTGTTTTTTTAATCGCATTCGATTCTCTTTCTGACTATGTTCTGTATGTAGATGACCTAAATTAAATTGCTTGGCTTATGTTTAAAAGATAAAATCATACTGAAAATTTAGTTTTGAAATATACAAAATTGAGTCATATAAATATTAAAACAGTTGATTCTTTGTATACATACTGGATTAATTTGTGTTTGTCCACTAATGTTAATGCTATCTGCAACAACACTAACTTCACAGAATAATGTTAATTTATCGTCTGGTAATAAGCCATTAGCGTCATCAATTAAAAAATCTCGACGAATGAATTTTTTAAAACCCCAATCTTTGCCTGCATTGAAACAAACCATGAATATATATCAAAAACTAAAATTTTAAACTGACCTTGCACAAATCGGTAAGCACGTTGAGATTCCATAGCTTTTGTTTCATCACCTTTAGCATTAAGTATTGAAAATTTAAATTTTGCTCGTGTTTCGCATTTACTATTTGGTGCAGCAATAAGTAAAAGATAAAGTGATAGATAATCTTTGGATTCTTCATCGAGACCTTTTGGATTTAAACGTAAACACCATTTAAGTTTATCATTTGCATTTGCTGAAAATGACGATGACTTTAATGCTTCTCCCATTTCTTCGCGACAAAATGAAAAGTTATTTATCGTCCAATTAAATGAAAACTATTTAAGAAAACGAACAAATAATCAAATTCTTTTGTGAGAAAAAAGCGTGTACATACGTTAATCACTTTGACACTGGTTAAACACCATGATTCTGAAACAGGTTGACTAAATAAATGGACTGGTTGCTGATTTTGCATTGGAATTATAATATTATCACCGCTCATACTGCCGGGTATATAATGAACAGAAGGTGATGGTGCTCGTACAACAACAATATTTTGTGGTGAATCAGGAAGCATCATTTGCTTAATGCTATGAAATACTTTTAGTTTTATTTACGGTTTCTATATAAACGAAAGGATATACAGGTCGCAGAACGAAATAAAATTATATTAAAAGAAATAAAAAAAAGCATTTCGATATTTTATGCGCGATAATATTTTAGAAATTTATTGAAAAATACAGGCTAAATTACGTGGGAATCAGTACTCAAGAGCGAATCAGAGAAATTGACCGACACAGCGGTCAATCACTAAGCCAACCGTGTGTTCTGCCAGTCTAGATAAATGAGTCATGAAAAGAATATGAGCAGTAGCGATTTTCAGAACATAATATTTTAAAGAAAAATAAATTCGCTGAAAAATCTTTTTTATTTATTTCATACAATCTAACTTATTAATAATATGTTTTTTTATAAGTCAATACTTTAGCGATCTCTAGGTGACTATACTATAAGTAAACGGATGTACCAATCAGAATAGTCGATATTTATTGTTTACAACAAGTAACAAAAAATTAGGTGTATTATTTTTGGATAGAGTTGCAATTTAAAAAATCGTCTTCATATTTGTTTTTACTTGAATTGATGTATTTCGTACGCTGCTCAAAACCCTTTAGTGTGTTAAAACACCGATTGCATTAAAATTTTTGACATTTTGCTGGTTTGTTTGATCATTTTTACTTGATGGCTGCATGACCGTGGATGTCTGCCAAAACTAAAGAATCGAGTAAGAGGCCAAAAGTCTTTTTGTGAGTAGTAATATATATATATATATATATATGGATAATTATTAATTTAGTTACCTAAATTTTTCTCATTTATGAGTAAATACGAATCTATGAAGAATCATAGTAATGAGAAATCTTTCGATATCAAAAGCCTTTTTATATTATATATATATATATATATATATATATGAATAATACAAAAATAATTTTACGCACTATAATAATAGATATCTTAAACCATGTTACTGATACGGGAGCCGAGTAGCAGCATTTTTTCACTTAATTTTTTGTGAAATCCTAAAAATGTTTTGACACTATTTTAGTAACCGGAGATAAGAATAGAATTTAAGCTTTTCTTCTACCTTACAAAATGCTATAGAAAGTAGAGGATTTTAGTATTGTCTACCAAGTTCTCGTGCATTTATCAGTCTTAAGTATGATCTTTGCAAATATTTCTAGAGTGAACATAAAATTATTGACTTGTGATAAAGGACAATTGAATGATTCTAAATCATGCAATATAGACAGCCTGTGATTAATGTAGTCTCTTTTCAATAGGAATTTTATAGATTTTACACCTTTTTAAGGCTGAATTTACCATGTGGACGATGATATTTACCTGGTAAAATCAATCACTAGAGTTGAAAAGTTTTTCAATATTTTAGTTTTAGTATTTTGCATACAGAAAGAAACTTTTTTTTCGTTCGAAGAAATGACTACTCTTTTATAGTATCATAAATAACAAATATCTGACTTTTAAAAATATTTGACATTGACATTATGATAAATACTGATATTTATGTAGATGTGTATTTATAAAATACAAGAATTCTTTAAGTGCATTGATCTTTCAAGGAAACACGATTTAGTTATAATTACTGCGTTGGAAGATTCCCATATCAATGATATCAGAAGATTATTGATACGATTAATCAATACTAGATACAGCACGTATAGTATTTTAACATAAACGCTTATCAAGAAGATTAGTTGTTATGTACGTAATCTTTTGTTTTTTATTACACTAGATTTTCTGAGCAGTAGCATACAGATTGTATGTTTGTTTTTCAATAATAGATTTATGAAGAATCTAACAAATTTATTATTTATTTTAGATTTTTATTTTGTTTTTGTTATTTTTATTCTGTAAAAAATGACTTTGACCGAAACTCGTGGTTTTCGTCGAATCAGTCATACTATAAATCCAGTATGTGTTAGCTCATCTTTTCTTGGCGGTCCATCATCGGTAATCTTTTGTACTTTCTAACCATTACTTTTTGTAATAAAAATTGAACTCCTGTAGAAAACGATGATACCTATGGCTGGTGGAGCAACTATTCAACCGATATTTCCAGAAAATCATCCACAACCATCAACAGGTTTAGCAGCTTTAGCTAATTCTGCTCATTGGAAAATTGAGCGTATAGTAGCTTTAGCCATGCTTGCTGTCATACCAGGTTCATTTGTTTGTGATTCGGTGTTTATGAATTATTTGTTGGCGGCTTCACTTGCCATTCATGCACATTGGGGTTTTTCTCTATCAAGATGTTTCTCTTTATAATAATAATGATAAATATTCTGTTGATAGGAATGGATTCAGTATTAATTGATTATTGTCCCAGAAATGCATTACCTTTAGCGAATATCATTCGATATGTACTTACATTGATGGCGTTTGTTGGGCTTTGGTAAGCATTAATATATTTTGATTATTTATTTATTTATTTTTCAAATAGTTATTTTAACTACAATGACATGGGTGTAACAAAAGCACTGAAAGCACTATGGTCTATGTATTGATCGACACTGCTTTTCTATTTGTATAATAGAACTTTTACATATGGCTAAATTATTTTGTGAATTTATTCATTTGTTATTTTCTGGTGATATTTAAAATCTACTGACTTCACATTTTTTTTCTGCTAAATAAACATTCGACGAGTTGTTTGCATGATCAGATGTCTTTTCTTATGGCATTGAATATAATCAATACATAAAAATACAACATGACTTGTTAATAGCAAAACTTCAAATTAGAGAAAAAAGAATGATTGGAGGTAGCCTTCTGAACCTTTTTTTTGTACAGAACACTCAAGAAATACAAATTACTGAGAAATAGACAACGGAAGGCGATTTTTTTACATAAAATCAATTGTGATTTCATGCATTATTATTGATATTATTGCTTTTTGAAAATGATGCATCTTATCTTAAACTATTCTGAAGGAGATTATTTTGTAGGAATTGTATATTTTATGCTACTTAAATTTTGTAGCTTAATCAGCTTAAATGGGATAAGTAACTAATCTTGGAGTATCAATAAATGTCAATATATTGCAAGATTTGTTTTCCACAACTGAGACACTCATTAGCGCATATAGAGACAGCAGTAAAAGGCACAAAACTATAGACTATGAGAAAGATAAATATACAGCATACAAAATCTGATAGGTGACATAGTTGAAATCGATCGAGATTTCGAACCTGAATGATAGATTACTTATAATCAAAACAACGCAATGTGACACAAATAAAAGCTATGCATAATTTATATTATCACGTAGAATAGCCTTGTAAGTATAATTATTATGAATAACTAATCAAAGTGGAATAATATTTGTTTGATTGCTAGTTTTTCTATTTTAATTATTGAAATAGCTCTATGCATTAAATTTTCATCCTTTACTAAAAACTCATTAGGTCATCGATAACTATCATTTGTTAATGAAGAAAAACAATCTGAATCAAACTCTTGAATTAACTAACATAGAATTTGGAAATCTTTTATATGTACAAAACTGCGTGACACTAATCATGTCATGTCAACACTTAGTTCTTCTATTCCTGGCCATTATCATACTAGTCTTGTTTACTGTATTATATGGTGTTGTTTTTATGGCTGACAACCCTACGAGTAATTATTGTGATGCTCCAATATGAAGAAGAGAATTTCAAATAGGGTTTGTAAAACTATACCGAATATACTTCTATTAATGTTCCAGTATAGAAACAAATAAATATATGGTACTAGTTGTTTATTGTTATAGGATATCTAACCTATTAAATATAACCTGAAGAAAACATTGGACAATAACCTTGACTGGAGTTGAGATAAGTAAAGCTTCTACATGATGCATACTACTAGTGTAAATCGACAAGGCATGTATAACACTAGTATATATATATTTCCTTTCTTTTTGTTTCGTTGATTATCTGTAAGTCTTAGTTGTTGTTCTGTTTTTTTTATCATAATGTAATAAAGAAGCAAAAAGAAAAATAATCATAAGATGTGATGAAAATATTCCATTAAAGATGAATGTGATGATCTACTGATAGGATCTATCAATGTGATAAGCAATCAAGCCACTAGAAAAAATAGCAACAACAACATCTGTCTAGCTTTCGCCTATTTTCTGTTTTGTTGATAATGCGATTCACCAACAACAGAAGCTCGAAATAAATCTTATAGATCCATTCTTTCTATAACAGATATCGTACTGTACTTGCTATATAGACACTTAAATATATCTATTCAACTAACTCGGCAATCTTCTACATTTGAATCTTGATCATTAAAATTTAGACAATAAGACATGGTGAGTAATGATAGAAATATCTACAAATCATATTAGATTTTGCTAAATAGACAAATAAATCACATTTAATTGCTCATTTCATGGCTGCTGGGGCTGAACAACGATTAGAAGATTATCATTTTTTACGAAATACTTATGAAACAGTGAGTTTTTTGTTTTTTATTGATTCATACTAAATACAATGCCAATAGTCATATATATATATATATATATAATTATATATTATTTAGATTAGTGGTCAAGAAGCACAATTAAATCGTATTCTACGTATGCTTGATGATGATGAAATAGTTCTTGGTTGGCATATCAATAGCACACCTATTGAAAGACTACGATCAAGATCTCTTTATGATTTTGAAAGAACATCTGAGCCAACATTTTTACCAGGAAATATTGCCTATCAACGTCTTCGTGAGATGGAACAAGAAGATTCTAAAAAAAATATATCAATGCAATCATCATCCTATCGTAGTCATGATTATCAAGAACGTCGAAAAAGATTAAGTCAACAACATGACTCTTCATCAGCTTCAAGTTATAATGATGACAACGATAACGTTTCAGCAGCACGTTTACAAGCTAAGGCTGAATACGAGACTGAATTAGCAGAATTAGATACAAAACGAAAAGCTAGAGAGCATGCAAACAATTTAAGTGAGTTTACCTTGGATGAGTACAAACATAAATTATTATTTCACAGAAAAAAAAAATTTTCTTATAGGATCAAACCCATACGAAGATGAAAATTATAAATCCGACGACATTGAATTGATTTCATTTTCTGTTCGTTATGAAGATGCATCAGCATTGAGTGAAGATCCAAGTGATCAAAATTCCCTAGGTCGTCTTTTATGCAAATGGATATCACCAAGTTCGTCGTCGGGTATTGACTATTATACAATTGAGCATCAATTAGGCGATCAACCATGGTTATCTATGGGAGACAAAATTGATAAATTACAAAATCAAACTGAATTAGATATTTCATTGTTCATCTTAGATGATAATAATGAAAATGTTTCATCACGTTTTCGTTTAAAAGTTCATCTTGAAAATGGAAAAAATTATCCTAGTAAACCGACAGATCAAATAAATATTAGTTCAATCAGTAGAAAAAGTATTATAATACCTAATGTTGAAGTTCTTTCGGATGATTCTATTCAATTGACATGGAACAAAGATGACCCTGATAAAGTAAATATGTATGATATTGAAAAGAAAGAAGCACAACAAACGGAATGGGAAAAAGTTACTAAGGTTCCATTTTTACAAGGTTCAGCTTTAATAGATCATTTAATTGATGCTCAAACGTGTCAATTTCGTTTGGTACCATCAGCTTCACCACAAACAATCAAATCAGGTATGATATCTAGAAGAGTTTAAAACTCACTCGAACGAAGACACAAAATATATGTCTTCAATATAGCTGGAGAAACTCGGCAGTCTATAAAAAAAAAGAGAAATTGAAGATTCATATTCTTAGTGATAATAATATTGAAAAGAATCTTTCTGATTGGTGACTATTGACTATGGCAATAGAAATGCAAGCGATCATGACTCGGGTATGTTAGTAGCTCTTGGGTGAAATATAAATTGCATAAAAAAATTAAAAACTTTACATACGAGTTAATTCTTTTTCAGATCTCGATTTCCATAAAGTTTAATGTGAGAAATAGGATTCCTACAAGCTAATATTTACTGAACATTTTACATTTCAATAAAAATTGCATTATACGAAGGAGATTGCACTATAAAACAATGATATTCTTGTAATAATATAAAGAAGTATGGACTGATGAGTTGTGGATAAACAGTGAAAGTCATTCGGCGCAAGCAATCGAAAGGGAGCATATATTTATATCTGAGTTCAATATGACACTATAAAATACTTCTTATTATTCATGAGTAGATGTAGAATTTTCCTTTGGCTCATTGACTTTTGAACTCTTCTCTATTGAACTAGTTATTCTTCTTGTAAGATGACGTTCTTTTCCAATTTATGAAAGATGAAGCTGAATCAGAACTATTGACTGTTCACAATGTTAACGAATGGCTTAGTTCATTACGCCTTGTACCAACGTCATCAAATACAGTTGATGTTGAAATATCTGAAGAAGGTTTTAAAGCATATGATCAATATAAAGTTGAGTATACAACAATCAATCAACTTGACCAATGGAAACAAGTATGAATTTATGAATGGACACGACGAAAAATTTATTTTTGTTTTGTTGTTGTTACTATTACTAGATGCCAAATATAACTCGTGATTCGCCTCATTTAACTATTGACAATCTTGAACAAAATACTGATTATAAGTTTCGTTTTACACCAATTTTACGTGGAATGACAATATCAAATGAATCAGGTTCTTCTCAACTTTCACTTGTGCTTGACGTAAAAATGCCATCACCACGCAAAACACGATGTTCGTTAAATTATTCTATCACGTATTATACCTCTCTTTTTCTGCAAATCTAGTCATCACAGATGAAGCAAAAACACGAGCTCCTCCCCCGCAATTTGCTATTCATCAAACTGATGCAACAAGTGTTCTTATTGAAGCTATCGTTCCTTCGGATAAACCAGCTAAATTCGAAGATGTCTTTGATGTTTATTCGAGAAAAGAAACAAGTGACGATGAGTGGATGAAGGTATGTTGACATAATTTATATTTTCATTAAGCAGAATAAAAAACGAAATGTTCGACATTTAATAAGGTTGGCACAATGGATAAAGATCATTTAAGTATAACTATTAAAAATCTTGAAGAAAATACGGCTTACGCTTTTAAAATTCATAATCAAGAATTACCATTATCTGAAGAACAAAATAATATTATACGACAATTTAAATTTGAAACAGCATCAGGTTAGTATCTAATTATATAGATTTCTTTGTTTGACATAGATTTTCAAATAGACTTTTTTCCGTTTAAAACCTCACAAATTTTATTTGTATTTTAGTAAAACTATATGATCCATCATTGTTCTTGGAAAAATTTGAACAAAATCTAGAGAATGTGGTTAAAGGTGTTATGCGAACCGGTAAGAAAGTTTATGCTTAGAAACTAGTTTTCAGTAAACTCGAAAAGAGGAATTTTAACCAAATGTCTTTTAGCTTTTTTCCTACATACTTGTTTTTTCGAGAGTAAAAATAACGGAATAATGATGAGAAAACTACGTAAAATGTAAATCAAATCCGTCTGTAACAATTTTCTGTCATTCGAAGTTAACCATATGTAATAGAAAAGCCAAGAGTTCAATCATTAAATAAATATGATAGACACATGATTTTTAAAATCTATACTATTTTATATTTAGCTGCTGGACATCAAGTACTTGAAATTCCAGTAAATATTAGTTTGAACGAAGTTATTCGAGAAATTTTTCTTGACGAAACGCTTGTACCCAATGAACAATATGGTTTTGATACATTGGCATTAACTAATGATCTACAATTATTTCGTGGTCCAAAACAATTAATGTTACAAGAATTAGAAGTGAATGAAACATGCGAGTCATCAAAAACGGACGGAGAAATTATTATTCATAATTATCGTGGGGCACAACGAGAACAGCAACCCGTTATTGTAAGAGAAGAAAATGGTAACACACGTATTGGAAATATCGATGGAGATGTCATTGTACGCAATGTTGTTACTGATGTTCTATTATCAAATGAAGAAATACGGAATCAATTATCAATGAATATTGTTGGCCAAGCTTTTTTGAAGGGTTTTCAAGGTATATTAATTGCATCGAAATTCAAAGGGATTATTGTCGTTAAAAATGTAAATAAGCCATGAAAAGAATTATTTTTTGGGTTAGTCTTTCTTTTTGTTCACATCTATTCAAAGAAAAATAATTAGATGACTTCACATTAACACTAGCACTTAAAACATGTTAATATTGACGGATTCGTATTTAAAAATAAGAATATTGACTTGCGATTCTGTTTTATCGAAATCACGAAAAATATATGCACTTTCTAAGTCATTAAATCGTTTTATTTATCAGAGAATCTACACTTCGTATGATTTCGGGTTAATAATGTCGTTTCAAAACAAATGACTTTCGTTTTCTTTAGCAGCCAAGATCATGCTTGTTGCACTGAATTTTTTTATTAACAATTATTAAAATGTGGAAAACAACGCACAATACTGAGTTTCAATCTAAGATTTTCATATAAACACAAGACCTAACAACCATAGAACAGTTGTGAAAGTTCGAAAGAAAACAAACATGTATTTTTTAAGATATTTAATTCTGACATCAATTCAATCAAATACTGTATCCTTCGATAATAAATCTCTGATTTAAATATCTTCAAGAGGAGGATAAGTAGGTCGGCATCAAATTTTCAAATCAGTGAGCATTATATATCACTTTTACACCAAATATCAGAGCCCTATACAATGCATCTGACAACGAATAAATCAATCAAAATAGATGTGGCTAGTTCGTGTAGATTCTTACTTGGTGAATTCGATGCGTTCCAAATTTCTATTCAGATAATCTAATCATTTTGAAATTCTAAATTCTACGAAAAATGTTTAACATTTATCTTTCTTGTTTTGAATTATACTATTTGAATACGTAGCATCACAAAATGAATAATAAAATCATTTCTGGTTTCATTTTTAGGAGTAAATTTACATTATTACTATGTCTATTGCACACTCGAGTTTATTTCATCCGAAATAATATACTAAGAAAACATAATATTAATTGACTTTTTATTTACGAATTTGAATATTTTAAATAATTAATAAAACAACTCTAGCTGATTTCATCTAAAAATATGATAGAAAAAGAGAAATTTCAACCTACCCAATATTGTATCAATATTAGTCATGAACTTTATGCATACAAAACTTCATCGTGACTCATGTCTTAGTAGCGCCATCTATATTGAATATTTATTTTTGATTTGACAAGAATGATGTCATCTCCTAAATATTATGTATAGATGGGAATCTATGAATGATCATGACACATACACGTACGTCTGTTATTGAAATCGAATCGACATTGATTCATTCGGCGAATTATAAATAATATAGTAGAAGCATATATAAAGCGAAATATCACTCATCTAATAAAAGTTTGGTTTAACAGAGAGTATTTATGAACGGTGGGCAATTTTATAAATGAATATTCAGACGAAAAGTTTATGATTGATATGAAGAAATGATTAAAAAAGCTGTCGATGTATTGTTTTCAAGTAAATTTAATTATATATCTGGTATCAAAAACATTAAGAAAGGAAGTTTTCAATATAGTTCGAAAGACCTATAGCCTTTCTATCTTGCTGATATAACAATAGATGCACATGGTTACAAATATTTTGGATTAGATATATCACATGAATTCGTTAATACATAAAGTATGTATTGTATTTATACAATGTGTATTTGTAACTTCGAATTGGTCAATGAATTATAGATGATCAATCGATTTTTTTAAGATAATTAAGCATAGTTCTAATAACTAATCATGAGTATCAAGTCATATTGAGAAAATGGATCTTGGATTGGTATCACGTATGTGATGATGCAAAGCCAAGATAAATCATTTCTAGATTTGATGAACGGTACGTACATTGATTTTTCAAATAATTTATTTCTGAAACTGCTGAAACATAAAATAAATGATGATCTAAATGTTCTTCATTTATTTATTTTTTATTATATTGTGATAACATATTGGCGTAGAGACTTGATAATAGCACTTGTTGAGAAAATAGTCAAAGTCTCAACAACAAATTTGTGTCAAAATAATTTCACTGGAAATAATTCCGAAACTCGAAAAAATCTCTTTAAATTTCTGAAGCTTGGAAAAAAGAGATCTTAATTTTTGTCTTTTTTGGAGCTTTGAAATACACCAATGAATTAGATAGAAGTAAAATTTTCGAATGAGTGGTTAAGCCAAGGGATAGGAGTGAGTTTTGAAAAACCTGAAAAGTCGTCGCAAACAAATAGAAATAGTTGAAAATCACAGAATAGCTAACAGGTAGTCATCCACACCTCCACCTTGGATTAAGTTCAAAATGAACATCTTCATAAATGCTCTTGCTAGCGAAAAGTATTTATGAATAAAAAATGATTTTGAAAATTAGAACTGTTTTGAGACATCGAGATTAGTTAGAGTTCTATATTCTGTCTTTTAACTAACTTGTATAAGCTTTCGAAAACATAATATTAAATATGATGAGAAACTTTTCATAGGATATCAAAATGAGAAAATTAAATTTTCAATACTATTTTTCGTATGGTAACTCCAACTTGACAAGCAGAGCATTTTGATACTAATAGAAAGTCCACATATATTTTTTCCATTGCAGTCGTACATGACTTACACAGACATTTTGACGATGCAATCCAGAACAAATCAATCATGTAGAACTTCTCACGACTGATTTTGTTTTAGACAACAGTGCTATTTTCAAGTGTACTAACGTAAGTACATCAATTTAAGGTAAGTTTTATTTTTTGAGGCACTATTTTTTAAAACAATTCTCTAATAGAGACTCCCTTCTGTCTAATAGAAGAGCTATCGAGGGTTCACAACGATTTATTGTTACGTTATACTAAAAGTAAAGTACATTCAAAATAGTTTCACTATTCATTATGAATTTTGAAACTGCAAGAATATTATCAAAGCATATACACATTTCTGAAATATGTTTTCCATGACAACAAAACTCTAGATACGAAACATCTTTTAAAAGTTCAAATATATCAAAAAAAATTATGGCTACCTCGTAACTACGCTTATCTTTACATTATATATTTATAAAAAGAAAGAAAGAAAGAAAGAAAGAAACGTGGGAGAGCTGGCAAATAAACTCATGTGCGGAATTTTTCTTTCTCTCTGTGTTGTTTTGAGTCATGAATTGTGAGTTTTCTTGCTCTTTCTACACGATTTAATGACGAGTGAAAAAGGAACGCCTTTCGTTCTTCTCCTCGATGATAACTAGCTACGTAAAGCATATGACACCGAAAAAAATAAAGAAAGCAAAAAAACGTCATGCATACGTCAATCGTTATTTTTCTGACTGCACCATGTATGTTGTCGATAGAGATGTGTAGGCGGAGAACGCGAAATACTATATATATTATATCAAAAGACAGAAATGCTAAAGACTCGAACAACACTATTATCGTATGCGATCAAACTTGTTACCTATCGATCAACTTCTGATGTGTATGAACAAAATTCAACAAGGGGATCATTATCCCACACCAACACCTTCAATTGCTAAAACTGAACAATATCCAATTTATTCATCTGAAAATAGTCGCACATCATTCGATGGCGATGACACAATATCATTTGGTCCTATCAAAGTGAAACCACGTAAGAAGCCAGCACCAACATTAGCTACTGGTCGTCGTTCAAAATATGAAATATTGAATGCAGATGAAGAACACAAACGAAATATTAGGCGTGCACGTAACCGAGCTGCTGCTGAACGTGTACGCGTAAGTCGATTAAATATTGAACAACAATTATTGGACGAAATAAGTGCATTGGAAAAGCAAGAGGAAAAATTATTACAAAACGTTGAAACACTTCAACATCAAAAACTTCATTTAGAAACACGACTTTTTACTCATGAAAAAATGTGTTCCAACTTAGTTGCACAAAATTCTATAATAAAATTAGAAAACGATCGAACAAATTATTTTCCATTGGAAAACTCTTCAATATCTTCTCAACAATATGATACAACTATAATTGATAAAATGACCGACTTTGATTTTGACGATGCCTTTATTAATTTATTCACAACTGAACACATACAAGAAAATTTTCCTGAATCATTATCGAGCATAATGACCAGCGATGATCTCAATGATTTCTTCATGAATTCGTAATATATGTGTATAGATATAATCTCTATATTTGTCTCTCAGAATTTTGTATTATGTTCTTTTTTTTTTATTATAAATTGAATGATATATTGTTAGTTTTATTGTTATTTTTTTATTTTTTTGTATTCATATTTAGGATAAAATGATATTATATCAGTATTTGAAAAAAGAAATGATTTAAAATTTCATCTAATTGGTGTAGTAATATTTTTCAAATAGATTTTTCTCGCTCTAGCCAATCAATACGTTGCATAACTGAAAAGAATCGAACAAGGCTTTATCGATAATATTAGTGTACAAAACCCACTTTATCTTAATGTTTTTTCTAGACAGATTTCATATTTTTTTCTTTTCTCCTTGACAATAACTAGAACGATCGTTATACATATAATAATACTGTTTGTTTTGGCCTGCGGAGCGTACAACCAACATTCAATTGTATTTTTTTTAACAAGCTCTATAAACACCATATAGAGAGAAACATGTTGACGCTACATTTATGTTTTGTATCTATCTCAAGGTTTTCAAGCAGATTTATATATTGAAAAAAAAAGTCCTATTTCACTATGTTTCGTTAGTAATAAAATACTTTCATTGATATCCAAAAATAACATTCTTCTATCTTGGTTGGTCTCTTTCTCTCCTTAATGTATGTAGAAGGGTAATTCATTTTTTCATAAATGCCATACATGTACGCAACATACAGGTAAAATACTCGATTATATGGGAATACTTGATTTCGGGCGTTAAAGGTATAAATATATGCATACCTACCTATAGAATGTTTATGTCGCCGAAGGACAGGGTAATAATTGTTGACATAACGTTTTATGTATGCGGAGAGAATATCAAAGAAAAAGTAAAATTGTGTAAAATCTAGGCATGTTTTTCTTTCTGTGTGCTAACGTTTTATTTCGATCAAACAATTGCTCACTTTGCATATTTCAAGTAAATGATGAAATATTTTTATATTTATTAAATATGCATTCTTTTTTACTATTATAATATCGTTCTTGAGCTTTGTTAAATATAATAGTTATTGTATTTGAATTCACACTGATTTATATGCGTTTTTAATAACAAGTAACGCTCATCCTCCAGATTCGCTGGCCCTTTTCTGAAAGAACAGTACTTCATTGAGCATTAAGTAAAAATAATTTTATAAGGAAAAAGTCAATTCTGAATGCAAATTGATCTCAATTATCAATAGTTGAGGTTCACACTTTCTTTAAAACGATTGTATATATGTTATACTGAATTAGATCGCATACAATGATACAATTATTAAGTTTTCATTAATTATATCTACCAGTGATCATGTTATTTCATATTTTCTGTGCAAGTATCTCATTTACATACTATAATATTAGAAGTAATCATCAATTAGTAATATATGTAGTGTACGGTTCGATAAAGAAGAAGTGACCTCGTTTCTGTAGTTCATTTTCATTTATGTCGAATCTCTCTTTGTTCAGTCCTCAATCTTTATTTATTCATCTTAGTTAATTAAGCACAAATCGATAATAAAAACATCAATATCTGTTAAGCGTGATCCATCTATCCCCATTCAATAATCAATATAAGAATATGTTACTTTACAAAAAAGGAACAATAGTATTATTTGTTCTATCGGTAACATGAGATATATCTTATATTAATATCCTACCAAAAAACATCTCCAGGTCCAAGCGTCGAATTATTTCGAAATCTATAATCATTATAACACTATTTTTTGCAAAAATATCAAATAAAGCTTTTCTATGGTTTCTGTTTTTTTATTTTGTGTAATTGCATGTAAAAACAAGAATGTCATTTATAATTGGTCTTTCACAAATACACATAAAAACAAAATGGAGGCATATGTATTGCATGTCATTTGACATATACACATGTATAAATATTCAATCGTTGTTGGTACATATCAATAAATATCTGAGTAGACTCTTTAATTACTTGGTGCTGACGCTGGTGTTGGCACCTTTTTTTTATTGTTGGTTGAGATGACGAAGAAGAAAAGAGAGGAACTACATTGAATGATGGTGGCAGTGCTGGCACCTTTTTCATTGTTGCTTGCTATGATGGAGAAGAAGCAAAAATAACTGCATTGAATGGTGGTATAATATATAGGACTGTGA